AGAGACAGAATGCAGTGTGAGAAAAGATGAGGGCCGAGGACTGAATCCTGGAAAACACTAATGATTAAGTGAGAGACAGAGAAAGAGGAACATGCAAAAAGACTAGAGAACAGGCAGCCAGAGAATCTGGAAGGAAACCAAGGTCCAATTTTGTTCTTTAAACTATGGGAGGGGGAGTTTAAATAAAGAAAAAAGGGCGGTGCCTGGGTGGCACAGTCCATTAAGTATCCGACTCCTGATTTTGGCTCAGGTCATGATCTCAGGGTCTTGAGATCAGTTCCACTATCAGTGTGCTTGGGATTCTCTCCCTCTCTCTCCCTCTTCCCCTCCCCTGACCTCATGGCATGCGCATGCGTACAGTCGCTCTCTGGCTAAAAAAAAAAAAGGAAAAGAAAAATGCTGAATGAGTGTCAAATGATTGTATAATGATTTGGAGTTGGACAGACGTGGGTGTGAAGCCTGACTTTGCTATTCACTACCAATGACCCTTGGAGTCATCGCTAGAACTTTGTGTTTGTAAAAGAAGGTTAATGATAATTACTTATCTAATAGTAATAGATAATAGTAGTCATCTAACAGTAATTTTGACGATTCAATTGAATGATGTATATAAAGAAACTGTGAGCGTAGGGTCTGACACATGATAAACTGTCAGTATAAGCTGGTTACTAAGAAGAAGAAGAAAAATAGGCCCTGAGAAGGAGCCATTCAATATAAAACTTGACCCCACTGTAGTAATTTCAGAGAAGCCATGAGAATGTAAATTTAAATGAAATACACTGAATAGTGTATGTGGAGGTGAAAAAGTAGCCAAGGACGTTGGCAATTAAGATAAGATGAGAGGGGTGCCTGGGTGGCTCAGTGGGTTGGGCCTCTGCCTTCAGCTCGGGTCGTGATCTTGGGGTCCAGGGATCGAGCCCTGCGTCGGGCTTTCTGCGCGGTGGGGAGCCTGCTTCCCCCCACCCCCTCTCTGCCTACCTCTTTGCCTACTTGTGATCTCTCTCTTTCAAATAAATAAATAAAATCTTTAAAAAAAAAAGATATGATGAGAAATTAGGTGTGCCAGTGAAATATAAGGAATTGAGCATGAGACTTCCTCACCATCCAATTTCTCTTTTTATTTACTTATTTTTTAAACATTTATTCATTCATTTGACAGAGAGAGAGAGAGAGAGATCACAAGCAGGCAGAGAGAGAGGGGGAAGAACGCTCCCTGATGAGCAGAGAGCCCAATGTGGGGCTCGATCCCAGGACCCTGAGATCATGACCAGAACCAAAGGCAGAGGCTTAACCCACTGAGCCAACCAGGTGCCCCCAATTTTTCTTTTTAAATAGAAGGGGGAGTCTTGTATGTTTCTAGGCTTTGGGGAACAATTATAGAGAGACAAGTTTAAAATACAAGGGACTGAACATCACCACTATTTCAGTCTTCCTGAGACACAACTTTGCACACTTTCTATCTGTCTACAAACTTTCTACCATTTTGTTCCTGTTCCAAACCTTTGAGGAACCCCTGTTGTCTAAACAATATTATTCAAATGCCTTCCCAACATTCAAGGTCTTCCAAATTCTTGCTCCCACCTACTTTTACAACGTTCTGTCTTTCTCTAACCTGGGGACTCCTCCAGTTGAATTTCTTTTTTTTTTTTTAAGATTTTATTTATTTATTTGACAAACAGAGATCACAAGTAGGCAGAAACGCAGCCAGAGAGAGAGGAAGGGAAGCAGGCTGCCTGTGGAGCAGATAGCCTGATGCAGAGCGCCTGATGCAGAGCTTGATCCTAGGACTCTGGGATCATGACCTGAGCCGAAGGCAGAGGCTTTAACCCACTGAGCCACCCAGGCGCCCCTCCAGTTGAATTTCTTTCCTCACCCCTTCAAGGGCTTTCCTTACATAGCTTCTTCCCTTGTCTTCACCTACCTCTCACTTCTGGTCTATGTTTGGGCAACTCAAGTCTTACTCCCTCCAGAAAGCATGTCCTGAAACACTGCACTTTTCCATGGCCACCTTCTCCTTTTTCAGACCAGCCCACAAAGTGATTTCTGTTGTTGCTGTTTTGTTTGGATTAGCTCCCAAGTTGAAGAATCAGAAATTTTCAAATAAAACTCTGAATTCCCAGTTTCTCTTTAAAAGTATGAAGATGTGGTGACAGTGAGTCTGCATCCCCCCTGGCAAGAATGGGCTGTAGTTCATGGTAACAGCTGGCCCTTTGGCTAAGGCACGGACTCCAAGTTTTATCCTTACAGCTGCTCACCATACCCATATACACATGTGCCTGGCTCGTCTAAATATTTGAGTTAAGTATTTGAGTATTTACAACACCAAGTCTAAACCATGGCTGGACGCTTGGTGTGTGCTACTTGGTGGTTATTTAGCTTTATGTTTATCACATCTTCCAGAAACTTCCAGATGGACATTTCCACACCTTAGGCCCATTCGGGATCCCCCACAAAGTCTACCACAGCAACCTAAACATAGGAGTATAGTTAGTGTAAGGAAATTGAGGATGATGAGGATGAATACTGGTCTGTCTTCTCTTAAATAACCCATCACCCAGTAAAACCAGTTACTCCATTCCAAAATTATACACCAAGGAAAAAAAGTTCCATATAAGTAAATAAAACCACCTAAGAACACACTGGGGGTGAAGAGGGAAAGGCAGTCCTAGGAAGGTTGATTTCGGTGAAACCAGTTCTGGTCTTGTAGCTAGAGCAAGATGCTGAAATGTATGTGTTTAAGGTTTCTTGCTAGAAGGTTCTGTGGTCTCTATTTTCTCCCTCATGACAGACAGCCGAGCCCCAAAGGCAGGAAGGAAAAGAGGAGGAATGATGGATACTGGTAATCTACACTGAGTTGGAGACATGTAGGTGTAGAACTGGCTTTCAAGAATACTCCTATTATCCACTGTGTGGACTCATCTGGCATTATGACCCAAAGTCATAGGGCCAGAGGTCAGATCTTGATATAAGGACATATAGATTATGGAGGAGAGACAAGGTTTGAAATGTATGGAGGCAGAAGCTAGTCTGTGGAAAATTCTTTCAATCATCGCACTTATAAAATTGTCAGTGGAAGATTCAGTTATCACTAATATCCGCTATGGTAGCAAGCATCCAGGATAGGCCCCAGTGATCGCTGCCTCACATTATTCATACACTGCTGAAACAAACTCAAAAAAGCCTTACAGTGGAATGAGAACTGTTAAAAAGAATAAGGTAGGCCTCTAACCCCTGATGACCACTAAAACATATTCAAGATACACTGCACAGTGGGGAAAAAAGCAAACTGCAAAACAATATGGATAGTATGGATAGTTTAGCTTGCTCATATCTTAAAAATACTGTATTTCTTTCATCTAAAACATGTAACCTTTCAACTTTTAACATCTCTGATTAATGAATGGCCCATCAGAGTTTAATTGGCTGGAGGTGTTGTTTGTTTTTGTTTTTGTTTGGTCTTAGAGTTATATAAAATAAGATGTGTCTTACTGCTTTAGATTTGATGAAATATGATGAACTATAAATAGTATGTCAATCAGAACCAAACTGCAGATCCCAAAGCCGTGGGCTGAAAAACCCTTCAGCTGTTTGGCTAGCCTTCTGCTAAACTGAAAAACCCTAGGTGTTGTGGCACAGACAGAAACTGGTTATCAGGAACCTGTTTGTTAGGCCTGGTTGACATGGCAATCACAGAGTATTGTCCTGTAGGGCAGGGACTGGGGCTAGGATTCTAATGTTGTGTCCTCTCACTTTGAAAGGAGGTAAAAGCCCACGTGTGAGGACACCCCAGACTGCTCTGAGTGGTACTGGCTGAGGCTCCCACACGGAGCTGGTATCTGGCAGAACAAGCCTTGGGAGGAAATAAAAGGTGCCTGGAGTCCCATCTGCTTTACCGTCAAATGTATGCTTTCTTAGTGATAGAACTGTATCCTTTATCCAAGTTGGGTACGAGTTGTCACACAAGCAAGTTTTTTTGAGCCACTAACCCAGCAGGGATCTTAGGCTCCTACTGGATCAGAGTAGTAGATTTAGGCGTATTTGCATACAAAAACGTTAGAAAGAATATATGCTAAATTAGTGAGAGATCATTTTGCAGGAATGAAATCAATGGAGAGTTAAATGTTCTATGGTTGCGTATTAAAAAATTTAAAAAACACTTATATGGGGGCGCCTGGGTGGCTCAGTGGGTTAAAGCCTCTGCCTTCGGCTCAGGTCACGATCCCAGGGTCCTGGGATCGAGCCCCACATCGGGCTCTCTGCTCAGCCGGAAGCCTGCTTCCTCCTTTCTCTCTCTCACTGCCTACTGGTGATCTCTGCCTGTCAAATAAATAAACAAAATCTTAAAAACAAAAAAAACAAACAAACAAACAAAAAAAAACACTTATATGTATTACCTTTATAAGCAGAGGAAAAAAAGGTAAACACATTCAAATTGTAAAGTACAGAACAATGTTAATAATGAAGGAGGCAGGCGACCACTGGTTTTTTCCCTCTTCCTACTCCAACACCCACGAACCTTGTAATGAGCATGAATTATTTTTTCAATACAAAAATTTGTTTTAAGAAATAAAAGAAATTCCCCCAAGCCCAATTTTGCCTCTTCAAATAAAAAATAAAGGCACAAATCCTTCAACATTGCATGGGAAAAGTAGTTTATCTCTAAATGAAAATTATACATGGTTCAGGTGATTTATTCATGAACCAAATTCTACAGGGGCCTACTGTCTGGTAGACACTGTTCCCGCGGCTTTCTTGCTTATCGCCTCATTTGATTAAAAAGCTTTTTAAATCAAAGACAGTTACAAGAAACCCGTAAATTTCTAAAAACGTGTTCTCCCCAAAACGAAGACACCCGACGTCGTAACGCCTCCCCTCTCACGTGACCCTACGACCCAGGGAAGCCATCTTAAGCATCGCCTCATAGAGGAAACTACAACTCCCAGAATCCTCTCGCATTGCGTCGTGCTGGCACTTTTACTGGCCGGGTCTTAGAGCTGAGCCCGTAGCCAGGCGCCATCTTTGACGCTGGCAGTCTTGGATTTCTGCTGGTGCTGCTGCTGTGAGGACGGCGGGCGGCAGCGGCTAAGAAAGAAGAAAGACGTGGCAGCAAGCGGGAGTCGGGGACACTGTCGGCGGTTCGGTAAAGTTTCTGTTCTCTGGTAACTAGACCCGTTTTTTGATTCCCGGTGGCTCGGGGCAAGGGAGGTGGGGGAGAGGGCGAGGGGAGTGGCCGCGGCCTCCCCTCGCCCCTGGGTTGCGGCCTAGCCCGGGAAGTCTGAGCGGGTCCTTAGGCCCAGCGGTAACGACCCCCCCCCCCACCTCCCGCCCGCCGCCCTCGCCGGAGCGAGCTGGGAGCCCGGGGCTCCCGCTCCCAGTTCCATCCACCCCACCCCCACCCCCTGCACCCCACCCCCACGGCGCCTGCTCCTTTCCCAACAACCTTCTTCCCCTCCCCCACATCCGGTGTTGGCGAAACCGTAGGAGTCGGGAGCAGCCCCGGAAAGCCGACTTGTTCCCCGTCTCCCGGAGAGAGAACTGACACTAGATTGCTTTCTTCGCGACACTTTCCCTAGTTTAGCGGACCCCCACTGCCTAAATCAAACTGAGTGCCAGGAGCTGAATTTACCTACTCTCATTCCTCTCCAGGGTCCCACTACTTGGGAGATACTCTCAAACTCCACATACTGAAAGCCACCGACCTAAATCCGGTATCCTACACCCCTTCCCTACCTTAATTAACTCCCACCCCAGCCCTCCGCATCGGAGTCAAGAACAACAGGGACACTTCCGTTCTCCTTGTAGGATTGATGAAATCGTAATGAAGAACACCCCCTAAAGTCCCATAATCGGTGCGGATTCCTATGGGGAAGGCCCATGTTGTTGACATCTTGCAGGCCTTGGTTCTGGACCTTGAGAAGGAGGCTGTGGAACTAGTGATAGCGATGCTTTTTAGGGTAAATGTATGTAGGTATTGGGGGAAGGGGAGGGATCAACCGAAAAGGAATGAAAGTGATTTAAAGCTCACATTTCAGTTTTTGCTGTTCATATAGAGTTCAACTCATGAGTTACTTATTTACAGGCAGTAAAGCTTCTCCAGTCTAAAAATGTCTGAAAGCTAAATTTGGATTAACTCTTGATACAAACAGTAAATTGAAAACGCAGCTTGTGACCCAAATTTTTATTCTCAAAACACTTTTTTTTAGCCATCTACATTTTTAAAAATTGTGTTATTTTTCTTTAGAGCTGAAAGGGCTCAACTAGCATTTGCTGTTAATGACCAGTATGTGGAGTCTGCTTTATATTCCCAGAATTGACTTTTTGGGTTGTATTGTCAAATCACAGTCCTAAATGATGAATGTTGAATGATGCACTATGTTTTTGTTTAAGTGAAATTTCCTGAAAATAATTTCAGAATTAAGGGAAATTGATGTCGCTACCATGACGCATCATTAAAATATATATTTTTAAAGCTGAAGGCATTTCAAGGAGATGTAGTTCTTGATGAAGCAGAAAGAACATGGGCCTGGGATTTGGAAGACCTGGCTTCTAGCTGCTACTAACTCTGACTCTGGGAAGGTGCACCTCAAGTTCTTGTTTTCTATAACATGAAGAGATTGGACTATTTGAAATTAGATTCAGAACTCAGAAGTTGGAAGGGATCATAAAGCCCTCTAAGAAAAGAGTTTGGGAATGTTCTCCATTGCTGTCACTTTTCCTCCAAAAATAACCTGGCTTGGAAGTCATTGTTCCAAAGGGAATTTGATTCCCCATAGAAATTGGAGACAAGGTAATGCAATTAGAGAGGAACAGCTGTATTTCTACTTGAGTAATAAACCCACTAACAGATTCTGGTACGAATTTTGGAGACACAAAGAGAATGAGTGTATGTACCTTAAGTGTACCAGTTTCCTCACTCTCTTCTGGAAGACGGTGCAGCACTTTTAGTGGTGCTGGGATTCTGGGATGTGTTCCTATTAATTCTAATACAGATGAAGAAGATGTGGTAGAGGGAAAGATGGTGGCAGAAGGAATGGATAAAGAGGCAAAATTGCCTGCTAAAAAGAAAAGAAAGAAGGGCTTACGGATTAAGGGGAAAAGGCGAAGAAAAAAACTGATCCTTGCGAAAAAGTTCAGTAAAGATTTGGGATCTGGGAGACCTGTTGCAGATGCCCCTGCTTTATTAACTTCCAGTGCCCATGAGCAGGATGAAGAAAGTCTTTTTGAGAGCAATATAGAAAAACAGATCTATCTACCTAGTACCAGAGCTAAGACCTCCATTGTATGGCACTTCTTTCATGTCGACCCCCAGTATACCTGGAGGGCTATTTGTAACCTCTGTGAAAAAAGTGTTAGCAGGGGTAAACCAGGCAGCCATCTGGGGACATCTACGCTACAACGACATCTGCAGGCAAGGCATTCACCTCACTGGACGAGGGCCAACAAATATGGAGTCACTAGTGGGGAAGAGGATTTTACTTTGGATGTGCCTTTATCTCCCTCTTCTGCTGGAAGCAATGGGAGCTTCGAATATATGTCTACTGATCCATTAGATGAAAACAGAATGGGTAAGAAACGTGATAAATCCGTGTCTGATGCCCTGAGGGCAGAAAGAGGGAGATTTCTCATCAAAAGTAACATTGTCAAGCATGCCTTAATTCCTGGAACAAGAGCCAAGACATCTGCAGTTTGGAATTTTTTTTATACTGATCCTCAGCACATCTCAAGAGCTGTGTGTAATATATGTAAAAGAAGTGTGAGCCGGGGTAGGCCAGGTTCTCACTTAGGAACTTCAACACTTCAACGTCACCTGCAGGCCACACATCCCATCCATTGGGCTGTTGCCAACAAAGACAGTGGTGCGGTTGGAAATGGATTAGATGAGGGAGAGACTGAGAGAAATGATCTCTTAAGGGATCCCCTGCATGGAGAGAAGTCTACAGGCAGCCACGATTTAACAGCTGAGGACCTTAGTGACTCAGATTCAGATGAACCTCCTGTGTTAGAGGTTGAAAATAGTAGAAGATCTGAGAGTCCTATTCCTGTTGCAGAGCAAGATACTCTGACACATGCACAGGAGAGAGAAACAACATACTCTGAAAATTCAGTCTCAAGTCAAATAAGTCAGGCAATTATTCAGATGATCGTGGAGGATATGCATCCTTACAACTACTTCTCAACCCCAGCCTTTCAGAGGTTCATGCAGATTGTGGCCCCTGACTATAGGTTACCATCTGAGACTTACTTTTTCACAAAGGCTGTACCTCAATTATACGATTGGGTCAGAGAAAAAATTTTCTTAACTTTGGAAAATGTTCAAAGCCAAAAGATCCACCTGACTGTGGACATATGGACCCATGACCCATCCACTGACTATTTCATCGTGACTGTGCACTGGGTCTCTTTGGAAACTGCACCTTCCAGTAATGGCAGGATCCCTAATTTCAGAAAGTGGGCAGTACTTTGTGTAACAGGGTTGGCCAAAGACTGCTTGATAACCAACATTTTACAAGAACTAAATGACCAGATTGGTTTGTGGCTTTCTCCTAATTTCCTCATTCCTAGCTTTATTGTTTCTGATAATTCCTCTAACGTGGTACATGCAATCAAAGATGGAGGTTTTACCCATGTGCCATGCTTCCTGCATTGTTTAAATATAGTCATTCAGGACTTTTTTTGTGAGCACAAAAGCATTGAGAATATGTTAGTAGCTGCTAGGAAAACCTGTCATCATTTTAGTCATTCAGTCAAGGCCCGTCAGATTCTGCAGGAGTTTCAAAATGATCACCAGCTTCCTTGGAAGAATTTGAAGCAGGATGAAACTGGCCATTGGATTTCTACCTTTTATATGTTAAAATGGCTCTTGGAGCATTGCTACTCAGTTCACCATAGTCTGGGTAGAGCTAGTGGGGTTGTGCTCACCTCACTTCAGTGGACTTTAATGACTTATGTTTGTGATATCCTTAAGCCATTTGAGGAAGCCACCCAGAAAGTGAGTGTCAAGACCACAGGATTGAACCAGGTGCTCCCCCTAATCCATCATCTGCTCCTTTCTCTGCAGAAACTCAGAGAAGATTTTCAAATAAGAGGTATTACCCAGGCACTCAATCTGGTGGACAGTTTATCTCTGAAACTTGAAACTGATACCCTACTGAGTGCCATGCTTAAATCCAAGCCCTGTATCTTGGCTGCTTTGTTAGACCCTTGCTTTAAAAACAGTTTGGAAGACTTTTTCCCTCAAGGTGCTGATTTAGAAACTTATAAGCAGATCCTTGCAGAAGAAGTTTGCAATTACATGGAATCTTCAGAGGTGTGCCATATTGCAACGTCAGATGCTTCTGGTCCCCCAGCCATTGTAGGAGCTGATTCGTTTACCTCATCTATAAGAGAAGGCACCTCCAGTTCAGGGTCTTTTGATAGCTCAGCTGTAGATAATGTTGCCATTGGAAGCAAAAGCTTCATGTTTCCTTCCGCCATAGCAGTAGTAGATGAATACTTCAAAGAGAAGTATTCAGATATCTCAGGAGGTGGTGACCCTTTGATTTATTGGCAGAGGAAGGTGAGCATATGGCCAGCTTTGACCCAAGTTGCCATTCAATATCTAAGCTGCCCCATGTGTAGTTGGCAGTCCGAATGTATCTTTACTGCAAATAGCCAGTTTCATCCAAAACAGATCATGAGCCTGGACTTTGACAATATAGAACAGCTGATGTTTTTGAAAATGAACTTGAAAAATGTTAACTATGATTATTCTACATTGGTTCTGAGCTGGGATCCTGGGAATGAAGTTATTCAAAGCAATGAAAAAGAAATATTACCTTAATTTCTTTTTCCTTTTTCCATTTGAAATGGGCAACTTGTTCCTATGTTACTGTATCTGAATCGCTATAGTTGTTATATATAGTTATACTAATTATTCTTTATACACAAATCTGGGGAAACCTGAAAACACAAAATGTGCTGAAAATTCCTCAGTGGTAATAGTAATGCTGGCAAAGTGAAGATTAAAAATTCCACAGTAGTAACTCAATGTAGCTGTCTTTTGAAATTTTGTTTATACCAATTAAGAGAGAAAAGATATTTTTTGACCTAAAAAATATAGTGCAGCATTGAAAGGCTTTAGGCTATTTCTGGCTGGTAGATTAAACTTGTAATTGGTTTTAAGTAAAAATTTCTCCCATCATGAGAAGTTTGATTGCTCTGAAACCAATGAAATTGAGGGAAAAAAGTATCCTAAGCTGTTTATTCCTCCCCCTTGCTCCCATTTTTCTGTTTCTTTAAAATCCCTGATCCATACTTACAGCTTGGCAAAAACAAAGTGAAATTTGGAAATTTCTGATTGCCTCCTCATACTGGTCAGCTTTATCATTTCAACTTACTGAGTGTGATAGAGTTACCCTTTATATTTAGGATTGGATCTGTGCAAAAGGAAAACATTAGAAAACAATCAAAAAAACTTACTTTTAGTTTTTGAATTGCCTTTTTTAACCTTTAGAAAATAGTGTAAAAACAACAAAAGATTGTATGGGAACTTTTTACAAATGTATGGGCAAATGACATTAAAAAGTTTACAAGAATTGAAATTGGAGTAAAAGCCCCAGGAGCTACTTTTGACAAATACTGTGTCCATTTCCCAAAGAATGTTTCTCTAATTTTAAGTGATCTTAAATGTCTTTAAATATATATGCTGAATGATCCATAATGCTGTATTCTTAACTGTGAGATTGTTTTTTGGCTTTTAATCTTAGCTAAACATAAGCACTCAATATTTTCAGATTTTAGGAATCATTACCTCACTGGTAAAATGAGAGAATTGATCTCCGTGATCTTTAAAGTCCCTTTCCACTCTTAAAGTATGTTTCTGTGGTTGAGTGGGAGGCCAGAAAATGATGACTTTTAGTAAAAGTCTATTACAAGTTTCAGACTGAATAACTAATGTGAGATCCCAATTTTTCCTTTTTTTCATTTTAGATTTGGGGATATTCCCTGCCCAAAAATTTCCTGGAAAATTGACTAGTATTAAGTGTGAGTAAAAGGTGTCCACTTTTTTTTAAGTTTCGATTTTAGTTTTGTCTTGGATAGTATTTGGCAAGATTTAGCCTAGAAATTATGTAGTATTTATTACATGAGAATCAAAATTGCTTTGTTACGGGGCTGGTTTCAAAATTTAGAACTCATTTCTATGTATCAAAATCGTTTTTTGTTTTTGTTTTTTGGGTTTTTTGTTTTTTTTTGTTTTTTGGTTTTTTTTAATTCTTAAATGGTAAATGTACCATTGTGAAATGAAATTTCAACTCCAAAAGTTTACCCTTTTACTAACTGGAGTAATTGAATAATTACAAAGTCTTTAGTTGAGCCATCACTTGTGGGGAAAAGAAAAAAAAAAAGAAACTAGGCTGCATAAGCAAGCCTTCGCAGGGCCAATATTGAATGTCATGCCAGTGACACTGGAAGAAAAAGTCTTCCCTTAGATAGAAGCTTTCTGTATTTTGACAGCGCCAGTTCAGGATGGCTATAATGCTGCTCTGCCTTCTACAGCTTGCTGCACCACTCTGTAGTTACTCGATAACTATACGTTTCTATCTTTTTTGGTTAAACACTCCCTGAAGATGATAAATATGATAATGATGTACGTACATCCGTATTATACACATTGATTCATGTGTAAGGCTTTCCCTTCATGTTTATTCTGTGGGTTGGGCAAAATTTAGTGTAACATACCAATACACGTCATGATACTTTGGTATAAGAGTAAGTTCACTATTTTTATAATGAACCCAAATCTGAAGGCTTTTGTAGTGTGTTTTAAAAGGGAAAACTTACCCAGATGTTTTATTTCTACACATTTGTGTATATGTGTGTGTGTGTGTATAAGCCAGTTAGTATATATGTATATGTATATTATATACATAAAACACTTTATATTTTTTCATACAAGTATGCTTTTATTATACAGATAATAAAGATGGGGGAAGGTTTCTGTTTTTTTCTTAATAGGTGAAGAAATCTTGAAGACCAGAAATTGGATCTTATTGAATTTTGGTGTTCTTTTTCTTTTTTCTTTTTCTTCTTTCTTTTTAAATTCTATTGTTCGGCTATGGAAGATGGATTTTTTTTTTTTTTTCCCAATAATCCTTTGACTCTGAAGTTCATCTTTAAATGAACTCTGTTTTTGTTGGTTTTTATTTTTGTTTTTGTTTTTGAGGAGATAACTAAGCCTAGCTGTCTCCAGTCTGACAAAGGTTATTCGAATGGACTTAATCTCCCAGTAGTTGGGAGATGTTTTAAAAACACACGTCCTGTGTTTGAATTGTGGCTGAGAGGTTTCCTTGGCAATGTGAGGAGGAAAATTCTTTCTGCCCCATTATTATTAATTCATGGATTGAGTGTTGGTTCGACCTACAGGCGTAATAGATTGGAACTCAGTGAAGACACAGAGGTTCCTGTTGAGAGCAACCAGCTAATGTAAGTGTGGGAATGGGCTTTTTCTCATTAAAGGAGTGAATATTTTTGTAACTTTAAGGCATAATTTTCCTGAATCAAGGAAAGAAATCATTGTCAGGCTCTTTTTTTCTTGTAATTACTTACAAGCTTTTGGTTTAGGGATGGAAACATTTCCTTCCCCTCCCCCTTTTTTTGATAGTACATGCACAAAAAAGGGAAAAGCAGTATACTAAGGTGGAATCTCCCTGTGATTGCATTTCTTCCTAGGAAAGCACTGTCAGTGTCATGACATAGTTCCATATCCGTGCACAGAGTTGTGCCTCATTTGTTGTTTTTAATGACAAGATGTTACTGCTTTGTATGGAAGTGCTATAGTTTAATGTATTTCTCATTGATAGACATTTGGGGTTTTGCCATTAAAAATAAAAATAGCACATATCCAGTAACAGCCCTCTGTGAGCTATTTCCCTAGAACCAGTTCTCAGATGTAAATTTGTAGAATTACAATTCTGTAAAGAGGTGTACCAGTTTACTAATTGATGATGTCTTTTTTGATTTGTAAAAGTCCTCGATACATCCTTTTTAGTAAAAATATTAATATTTGGTCATGTTGCTAATCCTTTGCTATATAACTGTTTTTCATTTTATGTCAAAATCTATCATTTTTATTATGATTCTTAACTATGGTTTCATGCAAGGAAAAGTTTTTTTTCAATCTGAGCTTATTAAAAAAAACCTATATAATGTTTTTTGCAGTACTTGGATGGTTATATTTTTTATGTTAAAAATGCAGTCTAGCGTGATCCAGCATTCACGCTACTATCCAAAGAACACACAAATACTAATTCAAAGGGTTACGGGCACCCGATGTTCATTCCAGTATTATCTACAATAGCCAAATTATGGAAGCAGCCCAAGTGTCCCATCAATTGATGAATGGATTAAAGAAGATGTGGGTTATATATATACACACACACACACACACACACAAACAGTATACAATTACCTGTAAGAAAGAATTAAATCTTGCCATTTGCAATGACATGGATGGAGCTAGAGTGTAATGCTAAGCAAAGAGTCAGAGAAAGATACCATATTATTTCACTCATAACGTGGAATTTAAGAAGCAGAACAAGCAAAGGGGATAACGAGAGGGAGAGAGAGAAGCAAACCAAGAAACAGACTCAACTATAGAGAACAAGCTGATGGTTACCAGAGGGGAGGTGGGTGGGATGATGAATGAAATAGGTGATGGGGATTAAGGAGTGTGGGAGTGCACTTGTGTTGATCACTAGGTGTGGTATGGAAGTGTGGAATCACTCTTGTACACCTGAAACTTAATACTAAACTGTTTGTTAACTAACTGGAATTTAAATAAAAACTTTAAAATGTAATCTAGGTATTGTAGTTATATGGCATTGCCGCTCCTTCCCATGAGTATGGTCAATAAAGGTGTCAAATACTGCTTTCCTTTTTGCTGAGCACAGTTATTCAGAATCTTTTTTTTTTTTTTTTTGAGAAAGACCGAGAGATTGAGAGAGAGAACATGAGTGGGGTGGAGGGGAGGGAGAAGCAGACTCTCCGCTGAGCAAGAAGCCCAGTGCAGGACTTGATTCTAGAACCCTGGGATCATGACCTGAGACGAAGGCAGACGCTTAACCAGCTGAGCCACCTTATACACCCCCAGAATCTTAGTATAGTGCTTTGGTTAGTGAGCTAAAAAGCCTCTTTGCCATCTTTGCTTTTATTCCCTTGGAACCTCTTTGTATGAAGTAGAAATTTTTTTTTTTTTCAAATGGGAGGCCAGTTTTTTTGTTGTTAATTTCAAATGCTACTTTTTCCACAAATCACATTTGTGGGCTTGCTCAAATTCTGTGGCTCTTACACTCATTTGAAAATACTACACTTAAATGATATATTTCACATCCCTTATAATATCAAGGAGAGTGAGGTCCTTCTAAAATTTTTTTTTTTTTTTTAAGATTTTGTTTATTTATTTGACAGATCACAAATAGGCAGAAAGGCAAGTGGAGGGCCAGGAGAGGGGGGGGGGAAGCAGGCTCCCCGCTGAGCAGAGAGCCCGATGTGGGGCTGGATCCCAGGACCCTGAGACTATGACCTGAGCTGAAGGCAGAGGCTTAACACACTGAGCCATCCAGGTGCCCCACTTCTAAAATTTTTCCTTATCTTTCTTGGTTATTCAAGATGATTTTACAGTCCATCAGGTTCCAATAATAAACTGTTATCACCTGATGTGATTATTTGGAGAAGTAAACTGCTTTAAGCCTCTACTCCATTCTTTCTTCATTATCCAGATCTTCAGTGCCTTAGTAGTGTCATAGTTTTTCAGGGTTTTTTAGTGTAGGTTTTGTATACTTCATTTTCTTCCTATATATTTTATAGCTTTATTGTGAATGGGACTTTGTTACCAAGCTAGCACATAGGAAATTTACCAATTTTTAAAAATACCTTATTTTATTTTATTTTATTTTTTTTAAGATTTTATTTATTTACTTGACAGACAGAGATCACAGGTAGGCAGAGAGGCAGGCAGAGAGAGAAGGAAGCAGGCTCCCCACGGAGCAGAGAGCCCGATGCGGAGCTCAATCCCAGGACCCCGGGACCATGACCTGAGCCGAAGGCAGAGGTTTTAACCCACGGAGCCACCCAGGTGCCCCCAAAATACCTTATTTTAATTATGTTTTAGTTGATTGCTGGATTTGCTAGTTTGCAAGCATATAATCTGCAGGTACTAAATTTTTTTTTTTGCCGCCGCCTTTCTAGTCTTTATACATTTCCTTAACTCATGTACTAGACTCTGAATGTTGGATAATGGAGACAACAAGGGCTCCTTTTTCGTCCAGAGTGAGGTCACTTCCATTGTTTGCCATATTGCCTGTGCTCATGTTTTCTGATGACTGAGTGCATGTATGCCAAGGAGGTCACTTGTAATTTACTGAGTTTTTATCAGAACTGTATGCTGCATTTTTACCTTTTTTAAATACTATTTTTAAATCCTTTTTTAAAACCATGTCTTCTTGGCTCCATAGCTCAGGGGTGAGAGCACTGGTCTTGTAAAACCATGTTTTCTTTTTTGGAACTTTAAGATATCTGGGGAATCTGGGTTGCTCAGTTGGTTAACATCTGCCTTCGACTTAGGTCATGATCTTGAGGTCCTGGGATGGAGCCCCATGTCACGTTCAATGTGGAGTCTGTTTCTCCCTCTCCCTATACCCCTCCCCCTGCTTATGCTTGCTGTCTCTGTCTCTATCACATAAATAAAATCTTAAAAAAAAAAAAAAAGAAATTTTAAGATACCAGACTTTTTCTTTTTATCCCCCTTTACTCATTACATTTATGAATAATGAATTTTTTTTAATGTTAAATCACTCTTACTCCTGGAATAAATGTTTTTTATTATGTGATCTAGTTTTTTTTAATATAGTGTGGTTTGATTTGCTTTATTTCAGATTTATCAGCTGTGTCCCAAATAAGATATCCAAAGCAGTTGTTTTAAAACTTTTTAAAAAACAGTGAAATAGTAGAAGTGAAGTTCTTTTTCTCAACCTAGAATACTCCCTTAAGTAATTTTTTCAATATGTGGAGTATATAGATGATACACTTTCTGAGATTTTATGTCTAAAACTTTTTCCAAATCCTGAGATACTGAAATGTAATTTGAAAGGCCAAATCTAAGGGCATAATCTTCCCTTTAAATTCTGGTATGTAGCATTTTGTCTTTTGGCATGTAGAGAGTCAGGTGATGTTAGATGTCAAATCCGATTTTCTGTTATTAGTCTACTTTTTCTTAGAAATCTGTATGATTCTATCTTTATGCATTAGAATTCAAAATTCTCAGCATACCTCTGGTATAGTTAAGATGTCTTTATGATTTTTTTTTTTTTAAAGCGATGTGTACACCCAACATGGGACTTGAACTGACAACCCTGAAATCACGAGTTGCATGTTCCACTGACAAGCCAGCCAGGCACCCCAGTAGAGACGTCTTTCAAGAAATTTCCTGCCTGGCATTTAATGAACTCCTTTTGTTTTTGTTTTTTTGTTTTGTTTTGTTTTTTAAGATTTTATTTATTTGTCTGAGACAACAGGCAGAGGGAGAAAGAGGCTCCCTGCTGATCAAGGAGCCGGATGCAGGACTCAGTCCCAGGACTCTGAGATCATGACCCAAGTCCAAGGCAGGTGCTTAACCCACTGAGCCACCCAAGCGTCCCTGATGAACCCCCTTTTAATTTAATGACTAAAGTTTATTCAGTTTAGGGAAGTTCTGTTATTTTATTATTAGCTCTATTAATTTCATTCCTTTTAGAATTTCCATTGTATAAAAATTAAGTCTTCTGGAATAATTTCCATCTTCTATACCTTTTCTCTTGTGTTGATATCTTTCAGCATTCTGAGAGATACCCTGACAGTATCTTAAAATTCAGTTTTAGTGTTTTCCATCAGTTTATTGTGCTCTTACTTGTATTGAAATCTCTCTTGGGCGGCTTAGTCATTTAAGCGACTGACTCTTGATTTCAGCTTGGGTCATGATCTCAGAATCCTGGGATCCAGCCTTGCTTTGGGCTTACTGCCCAGCAGGGCGTCTGCTTTTCTCTCTCCCCATCTTCCTCTGCCCCTCCCACTGCACACACACCATGCTCTATCTCTCAAGTAATTTAAAAAAAAAAAAAAATCTCTTGGGGGAAGCAAGAAATTTGAGTTTTCCTATTTTTTGAACTTTCTTTTGTTTCCACTCTTTTTCGTAATGATATATTCCTTTGTATCACCCAGTGTGGTACCCAATATCGGGCTTGATCTCACAACCCTGAGATCCTGACCTGAACTGAAATCGAGTCATAGGCTTAACCAGCTGAACCACTCAGGATCCCCTCAAGCTGTATTCTTTAAAGCTTACTGAGAACATGACAGTTTTAAAGGAATTTCTCCTTTTTCCTACATTAATTTATGGGTAGGATTGGAGAGGGCCAGTCACTCATCTTGGCTTCCCTACTTTTGCTATTGAAAAGTATTCATATTTTCTTGGCATCATGAATACTTTTTTTAACTTTTAAAGCTTAAGAAATTTATCAGAATGGGGGCACCTGGCTCAGTCAGTTAAGCAGCTAGCTGCCGTTGGCTCAGACTGTGATCTTGGGGTCCTGGGATCAAGCTCTGCATTGGGCTCCCTGCTCAGCTTGGAGCCCGCTTCTCCCTCTTCTCCTCCCTCTCTCTCTCTCTCAAATAAAGTCCTTTAAAAAACATTTATCAGTATGCATCTAGCTTTTGAGTCTTTGCAAACTTAAGGTAGTAGTGATTACTGTCAACTTTTTTTTTTTCCCCTGGGGAAAGGTTTTTAGGCCATTTTCTTGAATAGCAGTTACATTCTCTCCCCCACCCCAAAAGAAAGATAACAGAAGTTCAGTGTTTAAAACAGATACATGAAGTAACTTATGTTGAAACATTAGTAAGGCCGTGTCCATCTGCTTAGCATTCAGTCTTCATGCTCTAATTCTGAGGGATTTTTGCAGAGCCTATTTTTTTTTAAGGCAAAACAACAACAAACCCTAATATGCAATTCATACTGTTTTATTACTGTTTCATAAGTAACATTTTGATTAGTAGGTTGGGGGTTTCTGAAACAGCAATGGTTTGATATTCTTTGGGATATTGTTTTCAAGATTGAAATTGATCAGGCCACCTGAGTGGCTCAGTTGGTTATGCAACTGCCTTTGGCCCAGTCTTGATCCCGGGGTGCTGGGATCAAGCCCTACATGGGGCTCTCTGCTAGCAGGGGGCCTGCTTCTCCCTCTCCCTCTGCTGCTCCTGCTTGCTCTCTGTCAAATAAATAAATAAATAAAAGAAATTGATCCTTATCCTTTTTTTTTTCTAAAATATTTTTCTATTGTAAAACTTTTTCATTCTCCTCTCAATAATACCTTTACTTTTTGTGTATGTGTCACTGTAATTATTTGAATATCCTTTAGAGACTTGAGGCAGTTTTTATGTTTGGGGGGGCATTTTGGGTCCTTTTTTTTTTTTTTTGAGGCAGTTTATTTAATTACCTTTTGGTGTACCCTCCATTACAGAACACATTCCTTGTGTTTGGGGTCAGAGAAATCCTATTAGTGGATCAGTGGGGTGCTATTAAAGGTCCAGTCCTTGTCCCATTCTGTAGTGGATCAGTGACTGGCAAGCCAGTTAAGGCAGACTTAAATTCTTTATTATATATATGTTGCCTTGTATTAGAAAATCAAATGCTTAGATAAGCATAAAACAATAAATAGCCACCTACAATCCTACCAACCACTCAACTAGTAACTGATGCTAACATTTTGGTCTTATTCTTCCAAACCCTCTTGCTTCATTTTTACGAGCATTTAGTGGTGCCAGTGGTCAGGATTTTGGCTATTCTAAAAGGAATTTGCAATTCCCTAATGACAGGATGTTGAGTGTCTTTTCATATGTTCATTTACCATCTGTGTGTCCTCTTCGATGAGGTGTCTATATATATTTTCTGCCTGTTCTTTAATTGAGTTGTTTTCTTGTTGAGTTTTAAGTGTTCTTTGTATATTTTGGATACCAGTCCTTTATGAGTTACGTATTTTGCAAAGATTTTCTCCCAGTCTGTGACTTGTCTTTTAATTCTCTTAATAATGCTTCCACAGAAACCTTACCAGAAGCTCCTTTAGTGTCAGATTTTCTGGTAATAGTTTCTTCTAGTCTTTTTCTGTTGAGTGCCTCAAAAGTCTTCTAGCCTCTACTGGTGACCTGATTTCAAAGCTGCTTCCACATTTTTAGATTTTTTTTTCAGCCACACCTCATTTCCTGGTACCAAAATTTGTAATACGCTGCATATTATCACATCGCTTGGGTGTACCATAATTTTTTTAAAACAGACCCCAGTTTCTGAACATTTAGATGTCTAGATGTGCTTTCATTATTAGAAGCGAAGTGGTAAATGTACTTTTTGTGTATTACTACCTTGCATATTGGTTGAGTATTTACCTCAAAATAAGTTCTAGAAATGAAATTGTAAGTCAGAGGGTGTTGCAGATTTTAAAGGTTGTAGTATATGTTTAATGGCAGACTCTTAATTCCTAACCTAGGTTGCTGACTTCAAGGCTGGTTTTTATTGTGGCTGCCTTTTCTTGGATTCAGATTATTAATTCATGGGAGATATGATTGACTTTGGTTTAATTGATTTCAAGTTGTAGATCAGTGTTTCTGAAACCTGGTCTTCTGATGTATGAGTCTGCAGAAACCCTTTCCACATTCTGATATGTGCTCTTATCGTGTGTTTTTACTTTCGTAGAAGCTTTCTGGAACACTTCAGTGTGGGGCCTGGGTGTGGCAAGGGCTGAGGGTGGGGTCAGTTGGGTTTTTTGTAAGCACTGCCTTACTGGAAGAATCCAGTGACCACTTCTCCTTGTTGTGATTGGTGTGCAATTACATTCCTTGGCCATCTTCATTACATAGGCTAATTCTAGGGTAATTGTTTCAGTTATTCTAGTGAGGCAGTTTTTCCCACCTACTTATAATTACATACTTTTGGAATAAAAAAGCTTGTGAAAATACTGGGACTTCTGTCAGATGAAAAATATCTAGTTTATGAGGATTGTAGATTTAGCAAATACCCTTTGTAAAATAATGTTTAAGTCCCATTCATGACCTAAAATGTAGATCGTTTATGGAGTTAGGGCTTATTTAATCTTATGCTGAAGCCTTGTAAGGGCATAGGTGTCCTTAACAAAAGTTTTACATTATAAATGAGAATGTATAATGTTCACATAAGAATAAAATGTTAATCAGGGTTCATAAAGCTCTAAATAGGCAAGCATAATACAATTAAAATTTGGTTTTAACAGTGTGCTCTAAGTTGAGATGATTTAGAGGAAGAAGTTGAAAGAATTTATCTGAAATACTTTAATTCGTGTCTCCTCATTTTAGGATTGCATTTTAAAGACGATTTCTCTGATTGAGTTGTCTTTTGGAAGACTAAACCCATTTCAAGAGGACTTGGAGCTGGTCCTCGCCTTGAGGAAGCAGTGGCTTGCTTTCAGGAAGCCATTTCTGATATAAGGATCTACTCAGCATGCCTAATCAAGGAGAAGACTGCTATTTTTTTTTCTATTCTACATGTACCAAAGTAAGAATTGGCACCTTTAAAATCAGTTCTTTCTGTAATTTCTCTAATAAGATCTGTTAAGATTTTCCCAGTATACTAAGTGTTCATGTTTTGTTTTGTTCAGCCATTTATTGTCTGCTACAGTTTTCTTAGTAGAGAATAGTACTCTTAGGAGAATTCATTATTCATCTTTTTTTCCTCTTCATTTATGTTCTTCATGTTCTACAAAAGTGAGAAAGTCCACAGCATATACTCATCATTCACTGTTCTCTTACCGGTAATAATCATCTGTTCATAATTAATAATTACCTATTAATAATTACCCCTGTTCAGGGTGCATTTGATTTGAATTAGGAGTACTTTGGCCTAGCTTGTAAACTTTGGTTTTATTTACTTGTATTAAATGAATGGGTGGGTTGTACTGTACTTCTAAAAACTGTCGTGTGTTGAGTTTGACTTTTTTCTTCCGATTTCCTGCTGAATAATAAAGCCATTCTTCTAAATATGCTTTTGTAGCATTTTTGCTTTTTCTGTCAAAACTTCCTGTTTTTCTGCTTGATTCTTTTGCAGCTCCATTCAGATCTGTCCACTCTTCTGTACCTTTGTGACTAATTCTACACGTATATATATTGTTAGAAAAACTTCTGAAATATCTCTGGGCTGTGTTTAAAATGATCAGTTTTGAGCAGAGCTCTGAGCATATACAGCATTGTGTTTCAGATACTGCTGTTCTAGAAGTACATAATGAAGCATGGAATTATACTTAAAGCCTCATCCCTTTGTGATTTTCCATCAAAAGCTAGTTACACAAGTCAAGATGTATGAAATGGTTTCGAACTATAAATACATTTTTAAAGAGTACCACTTAAAATGCTCCCACTTATCTTTTTCAGCCCCGTTTCTGCTCATGTCACTTTATGTTGTGAAATCAAATGAAGGAAACTGTCAAGGAGTAGGTCATAGGAAATTATAAATTTGTTGACCTCAGATTGTTCTTGTCTTCCATCTCTGTTCTCTACCTTGCCTGTCTTTCCTTACTCCTTTTTGTTTGTCTGGATTCCAGGACACTGTTACAGTGCACACTTTACCTAGGATCTGTTTTGATACCACAATTCTTTTCTGTATTCTTTTCAGGGTGACAGCTGTCCCTTCCGTCACTGTGAAGCTGCGCTAGGAAATGAAACTGTTTGCACATTATGGCAAGAGGGGCGCTGTTTTCGACAGGTGTGCAGGTTCCGGCACATGGAGATTGACGTAAGTTTTCAGTTTGTGTTATGATAAGCAGCCTGGTGTTGTGATGGGCCAATAAAAAATATAGGGAGAAAGGGACACCTGGGTGGCTCAGTCGGTTAAGATCTGACTCTTGATTTTGGCTTAGGTCATGATCTCAGGGTTCTGAGATCAATCCCCATGTCGTGCTCTGCACTGGGCTTGGAGCCTGCTTAAGAAATGACACCTCATATATAATGTACAGATTAAATTTTTTTAAATGATGTAATGAAATTTCTGTTATAATGCTCACTTAATATCTTGATATTTTGGAGTATGAGTTGGTAACATTCTGGGAGCCAGTTCGGTAATGTATCTGAAGTGTAAAAATGATATGTGTGTCTTTGGGGAATATTTCTATTTCTCCATTTATTTTATTTTATTTTATTTTATTTTTTTAAGATTTTATTTATATGACAGAGATCACAAGTAGGCAGAGAGGCAGGCGGAGAGAGAGGGGGAAGCAGGCTCCCTGCTGAGCAGAGAGCCCGATGCAGGGCTTATTCCCAGGACCCTGGGATCATGACCTGAGCCGAAGGCAGAGGCTTTAACCCACTGAGCCACCCAGACGCCCTTCTCCATTTATTTTAAACGGTCTCAGACTTAAAGAAAACCCGCAATTACATTATAAAACATTTTTCTAAGCCACTTGGGAGTAAACTAACATTCCCTGTCACTCCCAAATATGTTCATGAATATTTCCTACAAGCAAGGACATTCTCCTGGATAACTGTAATATAGCCATCAAAATTAGGAAGTTAACACGGATAGTTTACCTTCATGTAAACCTCAGAACCTGTTCAAGTTTTGCCACTGTACCAGTTACATCCTTTATTGCAGATGGAGCATGTCCGGAATGGAGTATCGAATATAGTTGGCATTGCTCTCTCGTTCTCCTTCATTCTTAAACAGTTTCTCAGTGTTTCTTTACTTTTCATTCGCCTTGACACTTCTGGTAGTTCTAGGCCAGTTATTTTGTAGGACGTCCTTCAATTTGGGTTTCTCTGGTATTTCCTCATTACTAAGTTCAAGTTATGTACCACTGGCAGGAATATCATAATTCCTCTCAGTGCACACTATTAGGTTGCACAGACATACAATTTTCATTATCCCATTACTGGTGGTGGTAACTTGGATCACTTTTTTAAGGTGGTTTGTACCAAATTAGTTGACTGTAAAGGTTTTTTCTTTGTAACTAATATGCATTTTTGGAGAGGTACTTTGAGACCCTGCTCTCCCATTTCTTAACAAATTTTCAGTTTTTTCCCACTTATTTGTGTTTGTGAACTCATGGTTTCCTCTTTTATTCAGTGTGTTGTACTCCATTACTATCATTTTTAATCCTCAGATTGACCCACATTTGCCCAGTGAGAGCTGTTCAAGCTGATTTTGTGTCCTTCCGAGTTTTCTTCATTTCTTGAACACCTTAGTGTGTTCTGGCCTGACAAGATTTTTCAGGCTCATCCTATATTTTTCCTCCTCCTGTCCTGGAATTAGTCATTTCTCTAAGGAGCTCTGGATCCTTTTAATAAAGAATGGTACATATAGAAATAAGATTTGGGCAGCTCCTGGAGTCTCACCGCTTCCAGGCCTGCGGTGGACAGAATAAGAATGTATAAATGGATTTACGTACACATATTTCCATCATCATTTATTCTTTATGTCTGTGTGTTGAAAGTCATGAGTTCACATAGATGGCACTGCAGGTTTCAGTCTAAGCTTCTCTTTTTTCCATACTTGTAACTTTCTTCTCCAAAATTGAGAAACTTGTCCTTAAGAACACTGGTTTTATCAGTCCCCTTGTTGGGTAAGCCAGTACCATTCCCAGCCTCTTCCTTCCCCTCAGGCTCTGACATCACACACAAGGCTGCTCTCCTACAGGGACATCTTTCTCACCTTGTTTTGGTTCCAGTGACCCTGTACCAGGCCTCTCTCCTTGCTCCACCATAAGCACCTCGTCCTCACCATGCGAGGACCAATATCCTACTCTTGACTCCTCTCCACATGAATGGCCCTTTTCACACCTTTGGACGCTGCTACTCTGTGTGTGGCAGCCCTCCCACGTGAGATGCTTACTTTTCTCACCCTGCTTATGTTCCAGCTCTGTGTCAGGTCCCCACTTAGGAAGACCCTGCCTGCCTTAATGCCGCTTAGTCATTGTTGTCCATTCTAGGCTCACCCTCCATAAATACACTCTCCTCATCCTACACGGGGATTTCTTTTGCACAGAAGCCTTCCTCACCCCGCTCAGGCTCCAGCACGCTCCTATGCAGATGCCCTGCCAAGCCCTCCTTAATTCTGATGCTCTAGGCCACTTCAGCCTTGTCACATGGTGCCTTCCTCATTCAGTCAGGCTCTAACACTCTTGGTCTAGGCCATGTGCCCTTCCCTCTCCCAGCAAGAGCCTACCTCTCATTCTCAGCCTCACCTAGTGCCCTCGGACTAAATTGAGGGAGGTGGGGAAGGATGGAAGAGACTGACTCTGCAGCTTTAGGCCTGGGCTCATAGAGCTACTCCATGTGGGCTCCAGATTTATGGCCTTTTAACTGCATTCTATGCTGCCTGTCTTCCAAAGAGCAGGGAATTCACTGAATAAATTCAGAGAAATACTATGCAGCTTTTGAAAATCCACACTGTTATATTGCCGGCAAAATCTAAACACAGCTCCCTAAAGGGTATGTCAGGGTCTTTGAGAACATCCACATTGAGAGATTCTTTGGAATCTCCTGGGACTCAGCATATAGTTCCATTCATGGCTAAGCTTTATTACAGGGAGGGGCCCCCGGGTGGCACAGTCAGTTGAGCATCTGACTCTTGATTTTAGGTCATGTCGTGATCTCAGGGTCGTAAGATTGAGCCCCATGTCTGGCTCCGAGCTCAGTAGGGAGTCTGCTTGAGATTCTCTCTCCCTCTCCCACTTGTGCTCTCTCTCTCCCTCTCTCTAAAATAAATAAATCTTCAAAAATTGTATTACAGTGATGGGGAGGTAACACTGATCATAAGAGAGAAAAAGACGTAGAGTCTGAAGGAACCCATGTGTGCATTGCTTTTGTGATCTCCCTCCCACGAGGGTTTACACAGAGCACACACACTTCCCTCAGGGATGAAAATGCAGCACTATGTGTGGGATATTTCTGCCTGAGGAAGCCCAGTAGAGACTCAGACATCCAGGGTTTTTCATGGGGCTTGTCACGTAAGCACCCTCTACCTATCACATACTGAAACTAGACTCACAGAAGGATGGCAGGTGTTCAGCACAAGACATCTTCTTTGCGCAGTCTAGGTACTGTAATCAGCTGACAGACTAGGAACATCTTAAGGGTCAACTTTGCAAGCAAGATATCTAAGGGAGCAGTCTTAGGGCTGCTGGATTCACTCTTTTTTCTACAGACTTACTTGGCTACATTTTTCAAAATACTGTATGCTTTCCCTACCTTTGTCTCATCTCTGTTCCTGTGTGTAGAAGGAGATATATACAGAATTACTCATTAGAGCATAATTTGTAATAATAAAATATGCGAAATACGTTCATTTAAAACAAATTTGCTACATTCATAAGGGAAGTGCTAGGCAGCTATTAAACATTTTTTTTTAAGATTTTTTATTTATTTATTGAAAGACAGAGATCACAAGTAGGCAGAGAGGCAGTGAGAGGAGGAAGCAGGCTCCCCGCAGAGCAGAGAGCCCGATGCGGGGCTCGATCCCAGGACCCTGGGACCATGACCCGAGCCAAAGGCAGAGGCTTTAACCCACTGAGCCACCCAGGCGCCCCTGTTAAATATTTTTTAAAGGGAAACTTAATTGGTATGGAAAGATAAGGATATATTGTCAGTGAAAAAGTGAGGGGCAAAATAAGGTGCATAATATGCTGTCATTTGTGTAAAAAAGGGAGAAGAATGTGTTTTTGATTCACATGTGTATTTTTAAACTCTGTGAGCATAAAGGAGAAACTTGACAACAGTAGCTGTCAGGGAGTGGGGACAGGAATGGAAAAGAGCTTTTTTACTGTAATCCATCCATATGCAGTTGGTTTTCATTATTCATGAGTTCCATGTTTGCAAATTTGCCTACTTGCTAAAATTTACTTGTAACCCCCCAAATCAGTACTTGCTGTGCTTTCGTGGGCCATCTGCAAACATGTACAGAGCACTGAGAAATTGGAGTCGCCTGATTTACACACTGCCGGCTGAGATAGATAAATAAATATTCTTTTAAGTGTACATGTAAACATTTAAATCAGTCTTCTTTCCTTCCTTCTTTCCTTTCTCTCTCTCTCTCTCTCTCTCTTTCTCTTTCAGTAGTGAGCTCTTTGCCCAATGTGAAGCTTGAACTCATGACCCCGAGATCAAGAGTCACATGCTCTGCCAATCGAGCCAGCCAGGCGCACCTATAATTTCTTTTTTACGTCTGAGAATTCTATACTCAAGTGGTTCTCTTTGGGTAATAGCATGGCAGGCATTTACTAACTATTTTCCAAGTGGTTTTCATTATTTGTATGTTACTTTTCACTTAGAAACAAAATCCAGTAAGTACATTTTTAAAAGGGAAACTTTATTGATATGGAAGGATTAGGAGATTTTGTCAGTTGAAATACGACACTGACAATAAATGTCAGGTGACTCCTGTATACAGAGGGTACATTACAGAAGTTCTTCAGTAATTGGAAAACTGCTTCCAGGAAAGAAAAACTTAAGCAAAGACAGACCCAGGAGCAAGAAAGATTGGCATTAGGTTCTGCCTTGAGGAGGGAGTAATTGAGTAATTGTTATTTCTATTTAAAAAACAGTGGTAGCTGTTGTATTTAACTTTTAGGGTGTGTCAGGAGAATGATAAATCCTATCCAAATTTTTGAAAGGTAAAGGAATTTGCTGGACTTTTTAAAAATGGGCAATCCATACATGTGGCATTAACTTAGGACATAAATCTTATGAATGCTTTTTTTTACCAAACTGCATTTCAGAGATGTTGAGCTAATTTATGTTTGTATCAGCCAGTACCGTTGGACTGTGTAGTTCTGCATCCCGCTGACACGGTGTACGGTCAAACTTTCAGTCTCTCCCTATAATAGATTTTCATCTTTGCTCTTTCCTGGTACATTTGAGGATCTTTTTGTGATGGTCATTATTTCTGTTTCTCTCGTTATATTTTCAGCTTCTGAAGTAATGCTGCTGTGCTTTCCTAGAATTTTAAACCGTAGCTTGCTTATGATGAGAGCTCCATCATAATCCAACAGATCCAAATCTGTCTTCGTCCTTTGTCCCTTGATTGTCACTAACCACTCCCTCTAAGCTTATCACTATCCTGAGTACTCTACCATAGAGAAATTTTGCCTGCTTTGATATCCCCATCAGTGGAATCACACCGTGTGCACTGTTGCACCTGGCTTCTTCCTTCTGCAGTGTCCTGTTAAGTGTAGGGATGTTTTATTCCTTCTCAGTACTGGATAGCATGGTATTGTGCGAATAAACTACAGTGTATTTATCTGTGCTGGTAATAATGTACATTTGAGTTTCCATTTTGGAGCTATTATAAATAGTATTATTTTGAACCATTTTTTATACATATCTTTTTTTTAAGATTATTTATTTATTTATTTGAGAGAGAGAGATAGATCACAAGTAGGCAGAGAGGCAGGCAGAGAGAGGGGGCAGCAGACTCCCCACTGAGCAGAGAGCCTGATGTGGGGCTCGACCTCAGGACCCTGGGATCATGACCTGAGCCGAAGGCAGAGGCTTAACCCACTGAGCCACCCAGGGGCCCCCCTTTGTACACATCTATTGTATATCTGAGAACTAATGTATATATTTTGGCTGGACATATGCCCTATGATCCAGCAGTTTATTCTAGGTATGAAGGTGTCTTTTTCCTCATTCCCCTTCATAAGAGTGAGGTAACTTAGGAAGGAAAAGTACCATCCTTAGTGTGTTATTCGTGCCTTACTTTGAGAAGTCACGAAAGTGAAAATTTTCCTCAAAGCTGTGAGCTCTCAGTTTTAAATAAACTCCAGTGTATTGAGTCCTTTCTATGTGCTAAGTGTTTCATATACATTATTTCATTTTATCTTCATAAGAAGCCAAGTAGATAGCTCCTGTTTCCTGCCATTTTTATGGCTGCGGAAACTAAGGCTGAGAGGCATTAAATTATTTGTCAAACATCACATGACCAGTATGTAGCATAGTGTTATCTTTGGTTCCATAATCTTAACTAATACATTGTCCCGCTTCTCTAAATTAAACGTAGGTACCTAGGGGTTCCACCAACAGGAGATGAGCTACTTTCCTACTCCCTTCATCTCTCCCTCGAGCATGGAGGGCCCCTTTCAGCAGCCCCTCTTCTCCCTGTTCACAATCTGTTCACATGCCTCAGAGTTTTGAAGCCTGAATGAACTTTATTCAGAAACCAGACACCTCATTTTTTATTTGAAAACAATGTATTTTTCTTCCTATAGAAAAAACGTAGTGAGATTCCTTGTTACTGGGAAAATCAGCCAATGGGATGTCAGAAACTAAACTGCGCTTTCCATCACAACAGAGGACGTTATGTTGATGGCCTTTTCCTACCTCCAAGCAAAAGTAAGATGTGTTTTTAATTTTTAAAGGAATAGTTACTATTTAATGAACACCTGCTGTGTACATTGGACAGAGTATTTTACAACATTGCCTTTTAGTCTTGGGAGAGAGCGGTTTTATTTCCACTTTACAGATGAAGGAACTGAACTTTTAATTGAGGTTAAATGACTTGTATATAGTCATAGTCATAAACAAATTAAGTATCACAGTTAGGATTAAAACTTCATTACCAAAAGTCATGCTGCCTCCCAAATGTTTCTTGGCATGACAGTTTGGGTTACTATACCTTCATTTCCCATTTTCTTATAAGACCCAGTGAGTTTTCCAAAAGAAACCAGATTCTCCAGGCCAGGGTTTGGCACATCTGGTCCTTCGCCCATTTTATAAAATGAAGGTTTATTAGAAGGAAGCCAGGCCTGTTCATTCACATATTTTCTATGGCCAGATTTTGTGCTCCTTCTCCACAGAGTTGAGACACAGAGGTCTACAAAGCCTAAAATACTTACTATCTAGCTCTTCACAGGAAAAGTTTGCCAGCCCAACTCTAGGCTATAATCTAAAATAAAATTTATATTCCCCAAACACTAATTTTTATTTGCCATATCTCCTTTAACATTTCCTACTGGAATGATCAGCCATTTAAAAGCCACATCTTACGTGATTAAAATTTGATGGCTACATGTTGTCCCGTCTATTTAAGAGAAAAAAGTGGGCTGGATTTTTTCTGGTTTAGTTTAGAAGTGTTACCTACCATGTCTTTTAACAGCTCCTTTTTTGCTGAGCAGAAAGCTTCGAATTTCAATATTAAAATTAAATGTCTAGAATTTGTAAAGTTTTATGCACCTGGGGTCCAGATTATTCTGTCTTTTGAACACATACTTTGAACGTTGTGTACAGTGAAGAGTTACTAGCTAAAAGCCCTTTTTTCCCTCCCTGGGAGTTGAGAACCTAATTGTGAGAATGGAGAAGTCAGGTAAAAAGACCTAAGTGGTCGAGGGAAAAGCATCAAACTTAGCATATGTGTTTGGAGATTTTTGATGAATTGGGACTTTATCTTCTATTTTTAATTTATGACTGATGTTGTATATTCAGCTGTGTTGCCTACTGTGCCCGAGTCACCTGAAGAGGAAGTGAAGGCCAGCCAGCTCACAGTTCAACAGAACAAATTGTCTGTCCAGTCTAATCCCTCCCCTCAGCTGCGAAGTGTTATGAAAGTAGAAAGTTCAGAAAATGTTCCTAGCCCCACCCATCCACCAGTTGTAATCAATGCTGCTGATGATGACGAAGATGATGATGGTAAGTGTTAGCTCTTTCTTGAAGGCAAATAACTGATCAGGGTCACTCAGTGAATTGGAATCAAGATTAAAACTGGAGACTTAATTGTAAATTTGCCTCACATGTCGATACATAGATCAGTTTTCCGAGGAAGGTGATGAAACCAAAACACCCATCCTGCAACCGCCTCCTGAAGCTCATAATGGATTACGGACAGCCTCTGCCCGGAAACCTGGAGTCAGTTTGAAGCAAGGTAAGAAGAGGCTGCATTGATCTGCTTCCTGCTCATAAATCTAAAAGCACTGTTGAATGTGCCCAAACTACTTTAAGTACATTTGAAATTTAGATCACGGGGGCAGCTGCCTGGCTCAGTCGGTTAAGCTGCTGCCTTCAGCTCAGGTCATGATCCCAGAGTTCTGGGATCGAGCCCCGCATGGGGCTCGCTGCTCGATGGAGGGCCTGCTTCTCCTCCCTCTGCTGTTCTCCTGCTTGTGTGCTCTTTCTCTCTGTCAAATAAATAAATAAAATCTTTAAAAAAAAAAAAATTTTTAGATCATGATCACTACCACCTCTCTGTCCCTGACTCCACAATATACACACCCATATTGACACTCGCTTTCTCTTACTCATTCAGAAAACATTTGCTTGTGCACAAATAAAATGCAAAGGGCATGAGATGTTAGTTCCTCATGTGATTTCTGTTTGGATTTCTCAGGGGAATGTTTGAATTTTGGAATAAAAACTCTTGAGGAGATTAAGTCAAAGAAAATGAAGGAAAAATCCAAGAAGCAAGGTGGTAAGTCATCAGTTATGACATAGACAGTTGAATTTTGCTGGAGAAGAGTAACAAGGAGACTTCTGATAACAAGGACACTGGCAGCAGCCAAAATGATCACATAGATTTTGACTTCTGTGGCTTGTTTGAAGTAAAACACAGATATTTAAATCAGGGCTGCTTTTTTAGTACTTGAAGGAACTGCTTTATCTTCAGAAATACAACTCCAAAGAGCTACATATAAAAATCATATTGAGAGGAAAACCTTTATTTTGTAATAGATGAATTCTTCCTAGGAGCTGCTAGAATTTACTAAGGTTGACTTAGCCTGGTCAGTCTATATTTCCAACCCTAAAAATTACAGCTATAGTGTGAAATGTAGCAATTATAAAGGATCACATGGTTGGTTTTAAGTATTTGCTTGCCAAAGTTTGTTCTGTAGGAACCTTGGAGTTGTGTTTTGCAGGTGATTGAATATAGATTTCAAAAGGTTAAATTGGCTTGGTGGCGGTGTGCTCAGGTTAACCTTAGAATGTTAGTCTTTTCGGTAAATAAAAGTAGATTGAGGACCTAAGTCACTGAAAATTTTGTATTTTATTTTTACCTTGTGCCCAAAGTAGATAAGAGATAGGGATTATCTCCTCTCCCCGACCCTACGCCAACTCACTGTAGGCAAATAGGAGCAGAAAAACTGGCTTGTAGTCATCCAGTGGTCGGTATTGAACTTAACTGATCACAGAAGCAAAATTTCTTGGCTTATAATAGCTTTATTTTCCATAAATTATTTGCTGTTCTTTGACTTGCTTTATTCAGAAGGTTCTTCCGGAGTTCCCAGTCTTTTACTCCAACCTCAGCCCATTCCAGGTCCTGAAAAAGAGAATGTCCGGACTGTAGTGAGGACAGTAACTCTTTCCAGCAAACAAGGTGAGGTATAGGTAGGTCTAGGTTGAGAGTTGTCAGGCTGCCACTTTTTAATTGAGCGAGCAAAGTCCTTGAGTGTCGTGTGCCTTTGATGGGTTTGCAGGAAGACCTTAGTTGTGTTGGTCAGATAGAAGGATGAAAAGAAAAATCAGTGCATTTGACTCTTTAAAGGGTGAAATTCTTGCTCAAGCAGCTCTCACATTTAGGTATATTTAATTTTAAATTTACTCTTTATCTGTATCCATTCAGCAAATTTATTGACTGCCCATTATGGGTAAAGAACTATAGTAAACTTTATAAGTTCTAGAAAAATGCAGGACTTTTCCCTTAATAGTTTTAAACCTGGTAAGAAATATGACACAAGTAATTGTAGTATACAGATATACTTAAATATGCTGTTCAAACAACAAAGAACTAGAGGAAAGAGAGCTCACTTTTTCCTGGTTGTCAAAGTTCTACATTAGAGTTAGCGAGAGAGTAGTGTGATTTCATTTTAGCATATTGAAGTGCACAAGCAAAAGTATAGCTTGGGTTTTGTAAGCAATTGATTATAACACACCTATTTTCATATACTTGGCTACTGTTAATAATTAGGACTGTATTACCGATTCCCTTTGGGCTGTGCATTTGGCTATTTAAATTACTATTTAATAGATTAAATCTTTTTTTACCCCATATGACAGTCTTAATACTGAGATCTGACTTTTAAGAGACTTTCTGGGTGGGCTTATGACATCAGAACATATTTTGTACCCATTATTATTACTGAATACAGAAAAATTGGCTAATTTAGAGAAACTCTGTTTTTTGCCATTTCAGGAGAAGAACCCTTGGTAAGATTGAGCCTCACCGAGAGACTGGGAAAACGAAAATTTTCAGTAGGTGAGATGAATTTTGTGCAGATCCTTTGTTTTCTTCTGTTCATGCATTAACATGATAATGTTCCCCCTAACTGCCTTTATACAATGTCCTGTCGATATTAATTTATTTGCTGGTCCCTCTGAATGCTTGGCTGAAAGAACTTAGAAAATTTCTTTGTGTTTCACATGTGCATTATACCTGTTACTGATTTACAGAAATTTAGAGTGTTAGAATTTAAGTAGATTATAACCAGCTTTTTAGAAGGTACTCTGTTGAAAAAATAGTAAAGAAGATACCTCTTTGTCTCTTTGGACAAATGGAAATTTGAGTTTTTTAGAGGGGAAAAAAGTGTCCGGTTAATATAATTTGGTCCCTGAGTTTATTGATGCTATTTTATGTTTAGGGAAGTGTTTTATCATATTATTGAATTGTTATGTATATACCCTAATGTATCTGTCTCAAAAGAATTTTGAAAATTTTGTCTGATTTCAGCTATTTCTTCATATTTTCCTTAAAGTATGGTTACAAATATGAAATATTACATATTTTGTGTTATCTTTGATACCATTTTCACTGCCTAAGAAGTTTTAGGTAAAAAGTAACAGCTTTTTAAATTTCACATACATGTAAACTTTGTTATTTTTTGGTCTCACATTTAAATTATAAATAGAAAATCGTACCCTGTGTAGGGTCTTTCGAATTTTTAATGGGATACCGCAAAGATTATCTTTAGTTGAGCAATGCGAAAAACAATTTTTAACTTGTGACATTTAATCAACTCATATTGAACAGTATAATATAATAAACCACGAGTCAGGAAACTTGGTAAGGTCTTGGATCTGTCACTAATTGGTGACTTGAGTAAGATAGAGTTTTTCATAACCTTAGATGTCTTATCTATAATTGAAGAATGGGGGCTATTTGGTCTTCCCATTTTTCATGTCACGGAAAAATACAAAGATTCCTTTGCTGTCTACCAGGAACATCCCAGGTGCATTTAAGCACAGATACGTCTGGAATTGAGCCAAGTGGCCATTTAAGATGTTTTTTGTATGTGAAGTTTTTCTTGAATATTACTCATGCTGAATTTTGGCCTTGATTAGGGCTTATCATTCTCCATTTGTAGTTTTAGTCCATTATGTGATAGATGTTGATTTGTGCATTCTACTCTTTGTCCCTTTCGTCATTTCTTCTTTCTAGGACATTTTTATTCTCTAACATTGAATTCTCTGAGCACACTAGGGAATGAACACACCATATAAATGCAGAAAACTGACAGACTTATTCTGCATTGTCTCTTTTGCTTGTATTTCTTGACCTTGTTGAAGATTGATTTGAACTAAGTTCTCTCCGTTTGTAGGGGGTGACAGCGATCCTCCGTTAAAGCGTAGCCTTGCGCAGAGGTTAGGGAAGAAAGTGGAAGCTACAGAAACGAACACTGACAAAGCACCAAAGAAAGGTACCTTTGTTCTAATACACTGTGTGTGTGTGATCATGACACTTGTCCCTTGTAATGTTAACAGGCATTGTTCATCATTCTTTTTTGTTCAGGTAAATTAGATTATCTTGTGTCTGCATTATTCTACAAACATTTGAGTATTTACTCTGCTGGATTCTAGGGAGATGCCACTGGATAGAATAAATACCATCACAGTCCTCAGGAACTTACAGTATAATGGCAGATAGGAATATTTATATATATTGTGATAAATTCCATGATGGAAAAAGTACACAGTGTTATGGGAGCACACAGGAAGGGCACCTCTTACCATCTGTCAGGAAAGGGTCCCCAGGGCAAATTATATTGAAATCTAAACCAGAAACGTGAGTTAGGAATAGGCAGGTAATGTTGAAGGACCAGAGGCTATGCCGAGGCAGAGAAAATATATGCAAAGGCACAGAGCTAAGAAAGCAGGTTGTACTCAAGGGACTGAGTGTGGTTGAAACATAGAATTGGGGTAAAGAGCATGTTGACTGGAGAGGTGGAAGGACGTAGATCATTTGGAGCCTTTTAAACCATAGTAGAGAGTTTGGGCTTAGTAGGAAACCATGGGAAGGTTGTGAACAAAATCAGAAGCTCAGATTTGCCTTTTAGAACCATCGGCCTGCCTAAAATATGGAGAAAGGTTAGGACAAAAGTGCTATCCAGGATATGAGTTAGCAGCCTGTTATAAAATAATCTAGACAAGAGGAGTTAGTGGCATAGATATAGTGTTCTTAAAAGTTGGTATGGAGAGATGTGGACTAAATGGAGAGATATTTGGGAGTTAGAATGATTATGTGGTTGAAGTTCTATTTATAGAAAGTCAAGGTTGGAATTTGTTTTCCTTTTATGACTTGGCAGTGAAACATTGGTGTTAATTACTAAAAGAATAGGTGGTGTTTTTCCCTTTTATTGTGTTTAGTTTTAACTTCTCTTGAAGATGAGAAACTTTTTTCCACTGTTCCTGTAGCCCAAGAGGCTTTGATGAGTACATTTTCATCTAGGGTCTTTCTTTGGATTCTCAGAGCAAACAACTTACTTTTTTTTGCAGTCATAACCTTTTTCTCCTTGCCTATTGATTATACTAAAAATTTTCATAACTAAAAATTACATTTTAAATAGATTGGAGGAGCCTTTTGATGCCATTAAGAGTATAAAAGTTTGTATAGTAATAAAAAAAATTGTTTCCCTGCGGGGTGCCTGGGTGGCTCAGTCCTTAAGCGTCTTCCTTCTGCTCAGGTCATGATCCCAGGGTCCTGGGATTGAGCCCCGCATTAGGCTTTCTGCTCAGCGGGGAGCCTGCTTCTCCCCCTCCCACTTCCCCTGCTTGTGTTCCCTCTCTTGCTGTGTCTGTCTCTGTCAAATAAGTAAGTAAAATCTTAAAAAAAAAAAATTTATTTCCCTGAATTCAATAGTTTTTGCTTTTCAGATCTAAAAAAAGATTATATTTTTTTAAGCCTTCCCAAGTGCTCTAGGGAATCCATGATTCACAGAGGTCTTGTTCTGTGGAAAAGAAGAATTTTAAGACCTTAAGAGATTTTTTTTTTAAGTATTTGCATTAGAAGACAAACATAAGGCTAATTTGTGAACTTTGAAAAAAAGGTCTCTGTTCAACTTTTGGTTTTTTTAAATATATTTTTTTACAGTTCACGTTTCCAAGTCTCTGAAGGAGCGATTAGGCATCTCAGCTGCTCCCAACAGTGAGGAGGCAGCAGGTAAGTAAACCCTAAGACCAGCTTCTGATATTTTTTTCCTTCCTGTAACAATCTTTACTTTTTCTCCGATTTATTTTCTTGTTAGGTTAGGACTTGTGGTTAGGTTGGGGCTTATGGTTTAAGTAATTGACAACTCACTAGTATGAATTCTTTTTTTAAGATCTTATTTATTAGCGAGAGAGAGAATGAGTAGTGGTGAGGGGCAGGGGTGCGGAGGGAGAGAGAGAGAGAGAGAGAAGCAGGCTCCCTGCCGAGCAGGAGGTCTACCCAGGGACTCAGTCCCAGGATCTGGAAATCAGGACCTGCACCGAAGGCAGATGTTCGACTGAGCCACCGAGGTGCCCCATGAGTCCTCTTCTTAAAAGATGGTGAAATGAGGGGCGCCTGGGTGGCTCAGTGGGTTAAGCCTCTGCCTTCGGCTCAGGTCGTGATCTCAGGGTCCTGGGATCGAGTCCCGCATCGGGCTCTCTGCTCAGCGGGGAGCCTGCTTCCCTCTCTCTCTCTGCCTGACTCTCTGTCTACTTGTGATCTTTCTCTGTCAAATAAATAAATAAAATCTTAAAAAAAAAAAAAAAAAAGATGGTGAAATGATGACTTCACCACAACATTAGTAGCTAGAAACTAGAAACCACCTAAACATCCAACAAAAATTCAACTAAGGTGCTTATGTACAAAAATAATTATTGTCACAAGTCCTATTCTGAACAATAATGACTTGAAAAACTTCTCACCTCGTATCAAATGAAGAAAGGTTTTACAAAAGAACACATACGGCTTTTGACCTTTGGATTTAGGGTAAGAATCTTATTTTGTGGGGGTGATGAAGCTTATTTTCTTACTGTAAAAACTCATTCTCAGAAATAACATCCTTGTGTATGAGATGATTCCAGTTTTGTAAAGATAAAAATACATGCCTGGGGAAAACACTGCAAAAAATACACCAAAATAATTTTCTTCTCTATATTCTACACTCTTCCTGTACTCTGATTTTTAACGCTTTTAAATTGTAAGATCTAACCACTTAGTGTTTATATGTATACAATTTAAAGAACAGTAAAATGAACCTGTACCCCAGCCATCCTGTTCTTTTGTACCTCACTCTTCTGATTGAGCCAGGCTGGCGCCCCTCAGTTTACTGCTTTTTAATTTTTATGTCTGTGTTTATGAATGGTGTTAGCCTGTGTTTTTGTTTTTTCATCTTGTCCTTATCTGGTTTGTATATTAAGATTTTTACCAGCATCATAAAAGGAGAGTCTGATGTCAGACATTCCTACCTTTTTGTAAAGAACCTGGGTTTATTCTTCAGAAACTTTTAGAATTTTCTCTGTATCCCTCCCTACTGTGTTGGAATTTTAGTACAGTAGGTCTAAACGTGGCACTTTGGGTTTATTCAGCCCAGTGTTCAGTGGGCCCTTCAAATCTGAGGACTTAGTTCTAGAAAACATTGCTCTCATTTCTGAGTATGTCTTCCCACACTTCCTTTGGTTTCTCTGTGCATTCTTACCAGACAGAAGCTGAAATGGCAGGACATAGGCTTCACGTCTCTTTTAACCTTGCCGTCATGCTCTCCACTCCTTGGCTTTTTGTTTGTCTCTTTGTTTGGTTTTGATTTTTGCCTCACCTTCTCTGTTCTTTGCTTGGCTTTATTATTTAGGTCAGGAATTGACATACTTTTTCTGTGGAAGGTTAGATAGGAAATGTTTTCGGTTTTGGCGCTGCAGTCTCCTTACAGCTACTACACTGTGCCATCGTCATGCAGAAGCAGTCCTGTGCAGTACGTCTGTCCATCCGTGTGTCTGCGCGGCTGCGTCCTAATCAAGCTATATTTACACAATAGAGGCTGTGGCCCATTTGCTGTAGTCTGCCAGGCCTCTTCTAGATGGCTGATTTTTTACCAGCCTTGTCTTTTTGATGCTTTTCAGTTCCTTTGGTAGGGTTTATTTGTGCATCTGTGTCTTGTTTGTTTGTGTTTGAAGACTTATTTATTTGACAGCAAGAGGAAACACAGTAGGGAGAGTGAGAGAGGGAGGAGCAGGCTCCCTACTGAGCAGGGAGCTTGATGCCGGTATTGATCCCAGAATCCTGGGATCATGACCTGAGCCAAAGGCAGACGCTTAACAGCCGAGCCACCCAGGTACCCCGAGTGCACCTGTGCGTTTATCTTCCAAAGACCTTTTTCTTTCTTATCTCTGTTTTCTCCCGGTTTTATAGCCTGATTTTGGGCTCCCCTAGAGTTTCTACTTGGAATCATTTAAAGAAAGAAAAAAAAAGTGTGTGTATTATTTTGTCATCTTCATCACTTGTTTGTTTTGATCCACTTTTAATGTTGTTGTTTCATAGCACTTGGGTTTCCTGTGGCGGTTCTAAAGGTCTTACTCCCAAGTGGTCCTCTCTCCTGACTGGGAGGCACAAGTGAGGACTGCCTGCATTGGGGAGGGCATGCTAAAAGGCAGCTTGCGGGGGCACCTGGGTGGCTTATTCGGTTAAGTGTCTGCCTTCGGCTCAGGTCATGATCCCAGAATTCTGGGATCGAGGCCCGCATCAGGCTCTCTACTCAGTGGGGAGTCTGCTTCTACCTCTCCCTCTGCCTGCCTCTCTGCCTACTTGTGCTATATCTGTCAAATAAATAAAATCTTTAAAAAAAATAAAAATAAATAAAAGGCAGCTTGTGTGGGTTGCATGCTAGAAGTCTGGGGGCCCGTACCATTGCCACAGTAAGAAAGATTCTTTCCTTCCCTTGCTTTCCTTTTTCCTCTTCTTCCCTATTGTTTTTCTGCTTGGCATTTGTTCATCTTCTCCCTTCAGCCCCAACCTCCTAACTCGCTCCCCTTCCCAGCAGATTCTCCTCTTTTCGGGGAGCAGTTCCCAGGAGGTGGTCATGACTGGTCCACCTGTGCTATATGGCATCCTTATATTTCTACCCACGGTTGCTTTTCTTACTAGTTAGGCAGTTTTCTTTGGCTGCTGGGAAGAACAGATCTCAATCCTACAGTTTCATTTGTTCTTTTTCTCTTTTTCTGTACATTCATATAGCTGCTGTGTTCTCTCAGAAATTCCTCAAGATTTATGCTCTGTCAGTGGCAGCTTATTTTCCACTGCTATTGTGGATTTATTCTATTTTTAATGTCTTCTCTATTGTTTTGATAAAATTTTGGTAGAGTGGGGAAATAAGATCTTCAACCATTCACACAATTCCTTGGAGTGGTAATTTTGAGATCAATCCACCATCTTTAAGTGGAAAAAAAATTTTTTTAAAGCCTAAGGAAGTAATTCCATATCTGTTTGAGTGCTTCCTGTGTACCGTTATCTACTGAAATATTTCCGATAATTTAGTCAGTTTTCATGAAGTATCTAGTATGGCTGGAAATGCAGGACATTGCACTTCTGTGGGAGCAGTGCTGTGATCAGAGGAATAAACTAGATCGGTGGGTGTCGGGTTCTAAATCGAACTTAGTTAAAACTAGACAGCAAGAGAATGAGACCAATAGGGCACATTCTCTGTAGAAGGCACAGCATGTTCAAAAGATCAGAAGGTGAAACCAAACATGATGTGTTTAAGGTTGGTAAAGGATATTTTTTGTTTTGGATCTTTCATTAAAAGCTGTTAATCAGGGGCGCCTGGGTGGCTCAGTCGGTTAAGTCTGCCTTTCAGCTCAGGTCACGATCTCATGGTCCTGGGATCAAGCCCTGGGGCAGGCTCCCTGCTAAGTAGGGGGTTTGCTTCTCCCTCTCCCTCTGCCCCTTCCCCCTCCTCAGTGCTCTCTCCCTCTCTCTCTTTCAAAAATAAAAAAAATAAAATCTTAAAAAAAAAAAAAAAGCTGTCCTTTAGTTAACAAATGCGTATGTACAATCTCCATATTTTTCTGGTTTTTCCCACATCACTTCATTATTTCTTTTAGCCCTCAGTAAAGATGAGCATATCTGTCAAGTGTGAAAGTTGTTCTTCAAACAGATGTAGAATGACTAACATATCATTAAAAATAGCTCTTCAGTAGCATGCCAGTCTCTGGGCCTTCCCCATTTTTCTTCTGTCTTGTTACCTGTTTTACTTCTATTCATCCTTCAAATGCCACTTAAACATTACTTCCTCTGAAAAGATTGCCTCAACCAATTCTTAGACAAAGGCTGGGGTTCTTGCTCCTTTATAGTATTCTACTTCCTGTATGAAAGTTGTCATTATTGGGGTTCCTGGCTGGCTCAGGCCGTAGGGCATGCAGTGTAGGTCTTAATGTCAGGATCATGAGTTCAAGCCCCATTGGGCTTAGAGCTTACTTTAAAAAAAAAAAAAAACCACAAAGTTACTATTATCTTATTGTAAACTACATGTGGTCAGAGACTGCGTCTTATCATTACATTTCTAGCACAGTGTCCAGCACATGTTTATAATGAATGGAAGAATTAATTTATTGCCATTTTGTTAAGATTTACAATGACAGTCGTCTCCAACTAATAAATGGCTTTGAGATTCTTCAGGGATAAGCTTTTGACTAGAATCCCAACAAATTTTTGCCACCTAAGAGTTTTCTTTGAGGTCCACTACCTGAAACGTGCAGTATTTTAAAACTGAAATTGAAACTAATATGCTTTAATCATTTTAATTACCTGTCTACAAGATAGCGCTCTATTAGGACTCTGCCCTGATCTAAGAATAGAGCATAAGTTGTTAAGCGGTGAGCTCTAAATACAGTGACTTGTTTCTCCCTCCCCATGAAAACAGAGCGAGGCACTAAAGTTGGTGAAATCCATGTGAAGACATTAGAAGAAATTCTTCTTGAAAAAGCTAGTCAGAAACGTGGAGAATTGCAACCTAAACTGAAGACCGAAGGACCTTCAAAAGTTGATGATGCTACTTTAGGAACAAGAAGCCCCTCCACCATCAGAATCAAAACCTTCTCTGAGGTCCTGGCTGAAAAGAAACATCGGCAGCAGGAAGCAGAGAGACAAAAAAGCAAAAAGGATGTAACTTGCATCAAGCTAAAGACAGATAGTGAAATTAAAAAAACAGTGGTTTTGCCACCTGTAGTTACCAGCAAAGGACAATCAGAGGAGCCCACAAGTAGAGCGAAGTCTATGTGGGAGGTGCACATCAAGACGCTGGAGGAAATTAAACAGGAGAAGGCACTGCGGGTACAGCAGAGCTCTGAGAGCAGCACCAGCTCCCAGCCTCAGCCTGAGGCCACCCCAGGGGCAAGGCGGCTTCTCCGAATCACAAAAAAAACAGGTAACACCACAGTTGGTCTGTAGTACCATTTCCCCAGATCATATTTCAAAGGACAGTGTTGCTCAGGATTTTCGTAGGAGTTGTGTGAGAACTTTACTCAGATAACTTTGAAGACCACTGCGTCAAATGCAATTAAGCTCTTTCTTTGCAGCAGCGCTATTATATAGACCTTTGATATTTTAAGGTGTGTTTTGAAACTTTATGAGGACGAATGGGCTTCATCTACAATTTTATTTGTCCTATCTTACCTTTATTTTCATTAAGAAAAGTTTTGCTTTCATCTGTTCCTGAAGTTGCAGCTTAAATGAAATAATTAATGGTGGGTTTAATGTGAATATAGGTATAAAAGAAGAGAAGAAACTACAAGAAGGGAGTGAAGTTGCTTCCCAGAGCGGGCTTAATAGAACAGAAGCTAAAGAGGTGAGTTTATTTAAGATGATTTCATGGTTTTGTTCATGGCGGGCAAAGGCCAGATGAATGATAAAATGTGCCTTTTAGTTTTAGCTAATAAATTTCTTTTTAATGCTTTAATAATAAATTAGGTAATGCTTATACTTTTTTAATATAAATTTCATCTTTTTTTTTAAGATTTTATTTATTGGACAAAGAGCACGCACAAGTAGGGGGAACAGCAGGCAGAGGGAGAGGGAGACGGAGAAACAGGCTCCCTGCTGAGCAGGGAGCCCAGTGTGGGCTTGATCCCAGGACCATAGGATCATGACCTGGGCCAAAGGCAGATGCCCAACGATTGAGCCACCCAGGCACCCTATGCTTACACTTTTCTATGAGAATTTTTTGTACTTGTGTTTTTATTTGTTCTCTGCCCCTTAAAGTTGTTGTTGTTTTTAACTAAGCATAATGGCACTCACTGTACAAAAGTTGGGGACTTCTATCTTTTAAAAGAATTAAAACCCTATAATTCTGCAACCCAGATAAAACCACCATTAACTTTTTTTTTATGTGTTTTTCTCAAGTCTTTCATTTATGTACATATGTATGTGAACTTATTCATTATCTAACTCATGTTTAGAAAGTAATTGATAACCTCCATAGTGTAACACTTAAGCAGCCTGCTTTGTCTTTGCTGTATTCATAATTCTTTGGGATGTTCATTTTTACTGACCACATAATGTTCTATTATGTCAGTATAGTCTGCTTCTGGACATTTAGATTTTGCTTTACACAATTAAAGTAATATGAACATCATTGTATATAAATCTTGGTGCAAGTGTCTGATTATTCAGGAGGCATTTTTATCTGACTTAGGGTCATGATTGTCTATGCCTACAAAATCGGGGTTTTCATTGTTTCATACATCTTTAACTTTCATCTTCAGCTAGGTATTTTCTATTTAATATCAAAGAGCAAAAGCTCTTGTGTTTTAGATCATGTTAAACTTTGCTTGACATGGATGTCAGCCCAGTAAATTATAAACAAGATTTTCTTAATTGAGATAAAATTGACATATTTATTTTTCTTTTAAACAATTGTTTTGTTTTGTTTTGTTTTTAAGATTTTATTTTTTAAGTAACCTCTACACCCAGCGTGGCGCTCGAACTCACAGCCTCGAGATCAAGAGTCACTTGCTCTACCGAGTCAGCCAGGGACCCCAAGTTTTTTTTTGGTTGTTGTTTTAATTGAGCTATAAAGCCTGGTAATTTACAAATAATAATTATCATACAGATTGTTAGAGGTACCGAATTTTAAATCTTTCATTTAAATTTATGCTCAGGTTTCAGAAGAGACCACAGGAGTTGGCATTACTAAAATTCAAGTCAAGAGATGTGAGACCATGAGAGAGAAGCACATGCAGAAACAGCTGGAGAGGGGACCCTCACAGAAGGAGAAATCAGTTCTGACACCTCTCCGGGGAGACGTAGACTCTTGCAATACTCAGATAGGAGAGAAGCCGGTGCTCACTCCTGTGCCGGGCCTTACACGGCACCTGGCAAAGCGGCCTTCCACAAAGTCGTCCCCAAAGGCAGAGGTGGAAACCTCAGGCAGTGGGGACTCGATATTGAATGTGAAGTGTGCAGCACAGAGCTTGGAAAAACGGAGTAAAGGTAAGTTGTTTTCTAGTGTGTCTTGCTTTAGGATTTGAAAATTACCAAGTTTCTAGTAACTCCCTAGCAATAAGTTAAATTCCATTTGTGTTGTATACTTGTCACATAGGTGAAAAGTAGTATTTCTGATAATTGTACTTAAAAGGACAAATCTTCTTTCTCAGAATTTAAAATTGCTGTTTAAAAAGCTTTGTCTAAGGGCACCTGGGTGGCTTAGTCAGTTAAGCCTTGGGCTCATGTCATGATCCCAAGGTCTGGGGATTGAGTCCTGCATCGGGCTCTGTGCTTAGTGGGGAGTCTGTGCCTTCCCCCTCCCCCCTCTTCCCCTGCTCTCCCACTCTCTAAAAATAAAATCTTTTTTTTTTTTTTAAATAAATAAAAGCTTTGTTTAAAGCTCACTTTGGCAGCACATATACCAAAATTGGAATGTCCCAGAGAAGGTTAGGATGGCCCCTCTGCAAGAATGATACACAAATTCATGAAGCATACCATATTTTTAAGTCAGTCATGGGGACGTAACATAGCATGGTGACTATAGTTAACAATACTGTATTGCATATTCAAAAATTGCTAGGAGAGTAGATCTTAAACGTGCTCACACAAAAAAATTGTAAGTGTATGGTAATGGATTAACTAGACACTGTGGCAATCATGTAGTCAGGATATATACAAATATTAAATCATTATGTTATATACCCAAAACTAATACCATGTTATATGTCAATTATACCTCAGTGGGGGGATAAAAACTCTCTGAGATGCATCTTTCCTCTGGTTTTGAAGAAGAAAAACACCAGGGAACGGAAGAACAGTAGCAAAGTCAAGAGCCAGTGAAAAGAATTATTTGAGTATACACTTTATGGCCACATTGTAGTACACGTTGTTTATGGATTATTTTCAGTGTGGGGGTGTGTATGGAATTTAGATATTCTGAAGTTATTCTCCGTGTAAAAGAGAACTTATTCTAGCTATTAATCAGATATTTTCTCTCCCTTGCAGCTAAACCCAAAGTCAATGTGAAGCCATCTGTGGTTAAAGTTGTCTCATCCCCCAAACTGGCCCCCAAACGCAAGGCAGTGGAGGTGCACCCTGCTGTCATTGCAGCTGTGAAGCCCCTCAGCTCCGGCAGCGCCCTGCAGGAAAGCCCCACCAAAAAAGCAGCTGTGGTAAGTAGTAGCTCTGGCTAGGTGGCGTTTCGCACAGTGTGGTAGGAAAGCGGGGAGCAGTCGCTCTGCTAGCGCTCTCTGCCCGTTTGCTACTTCTGCCATTTCCAAGCATCTTCGTTATTGAGGTTGCTACTGTATTTTACATTCACAGACATTTGTGGAGTGGCAGAATGGAATTTTTTTTTTAACTAATTCTTATGGGGAGCAAGATACTTGGCTTATTTCTATACTCAACCTTTAGATGACTTATTCTTGGATTTCCGAGTTTACGGAATGACAACCGTGATTCTAAGAAAGTGGCAAAGTAAAAGGGTATGCTCAAATAAAAAAAGCCTGACTGCCACTGAATTACCTTCCTTTTACTTTTTAGGCAGTTGTCCCACTCCTTTCGGAGGACAAATCAGTCACTGTGCCTGAGATGGAAAAACCTAGAGACAGGTAATACCTTGCAGTTCTTCTTAACCAAACTTTAGGCCACTATTGATGCGCTCTAGAGAATGACAGTGCTTAAATAAATCTTCAAACATGTCCAGCTTAGCCACTCACACCAACTTAATAGCCAACTTAAATAAATCTGCTAAACTTCCAATTAATTACAAGAAAACATGCACGCAGGGTTGCTGTTCTCCTTCAGTGCCGCTGTTTATATACTGACTGCATTATTTTTACAGTGTTTTAAATATGTTTGAATGGTTCTTTAAAAGGTTGAAAATGCCTTATCTCACATCAGTATCTGTATTTTATTATCAGAGATGACTCTCTTGCTAACTGTTCCTGAGACCACGCAGGACCATTCAGTCAAACCATCAACAAAGGGCAGGTTTCTAATAATCTTTTGGGTTTTTTCCCTTGCAGTCTTGTGTTGCCTCCAACCCAGTCCTCTTCAGATTCCTCCCCACCAGAAGTATCTGGCCCTTCTTCTTCTCAGATGGCCACGAAAACTCGCCGACTCAGTTCCACCTCGACAGGAAAGCCCCCGCTTTCTGTGGAGGATGATTTTGAGAAACTAATATGGGAGATTTCAGGAGGGAAATTAGAAGCTGAGATCGACTTGGATCCTGGGAAAGATGAAGACGACCTTCTGCTTGAGCTGTCAGAGATGATTGATAGCTGAAGGCGGTAGAACATTTAAAAAAAAAAAAAAAAAACTGGACTTAATTTCATCTATTCTAACATTTACCCAAGATGATCATTTCTTTAGTCTAGCATTTGCCCCAAATCAGAAGTATACCTCTGAATTACCTGTATGTGTCCTGGATTCCTTGGGGTCAGATTTTTAAAGTCCCTCAATAACCATTTTGTCCATTCGATACCATGGTTTAGCATCTGTGAGAAAAATGTTCTTACAGCTCTCCACAAAAAAACTGAGAGGGAGATCCAAGTCGCAGGGTGCAAGAGAACTTAGTGACTCCTTGAGGTGTCTGTCAGTTTGGGCTCCCCCCCCCACCTTTTGCTATAGTATTTCTTTTATGTCTTGTCTTACTGTACTTATTAATGTAACCTGAGCTCGAAAAGGATGAAGACCAGCTGCTGCCAGTAAGGACCAAATTTCACTCAGTCACTAAACAAAAGTTCCACTCCGTCTGCGTTAAATTGTGTGTCGTTTTAAAAGTATTTGGAGATTCAACAAAGCTTTAGAGAAGGCTGAGCAACTCTGGAAGCTCATAATCTGGACATAACTTTTTCGACCCGATTTCCATGCTTCTGCTGCTCTGTAAGCCTCTGAAGAGCAATAGCTAATTTATTATTACTGTAATTTTTTTAAGGCTTTAAAGTGCCTCAGGGGTCCTCTGAAACTAATTTTCTATTTCTGGGATTCCCTGGATCCTTAATAAGAGATGGTGACATAATGATTAGAGGAATTCTTTTTTTTTAGCATGAGAGTTATCCCTTTTCTTCTTCAGTACTTGCCTCCTACTGGCATTGAATTATCACAGGGATTAAAATTGGTTAATTTTTTATTCTAACTCTCCCAGCAAACTCCTCTTGCCCAGTATTTATTTGGTGCCCGTTAACCACCCGAGGGAAAAAAAACATGAACTCCTCCAAGCTGCCAGTATTTGTCTCTGGACTGTAGCAGTGCACTGAATTGTACTGTCACGGGGCTGATTGAGATGCTCTGGGGGTGTATTGTATACCTTCCAGTTTTCTTCATTTCTGAATTGAATTTTCTTTTCTTGATGTCAGTCTCCTTCATACCACCTCAAGGTTTAGACTTGTGAAGGAACAAGTATGATGGGGATAAGAGTCTTGAAAGGAGACATATTGTACATAATCAGAAGGAAGAGGAAAGAAGGACTTGTCCAATTTGCAATTTTGCTGTAGGTGGCCAGTTCTGTTTCTCATAGGGAAATCTGGTCCACCTGTCGCGTTGGCTCCTAAGGAACTGCTGTTGTAAGCGGCTCATCAAGAGTTGCACCTCACGTAGCCTTGTTGGGAACATGGAAACGGAAGAAAGCCACAGGACTGCCCGTTCAGTCTTGGGAAGATCTGGATGATTCTGCACAAGCAAAAATGACTTGAAATTTATGTATAGACACCTCTCCACCAATCCATCTTCAGCTGACTGAATGTTGTATAATAGCCCTTCTCCAAAGCAGGGGTGGAATGTTCTGGTTTCACCACAGATTTTCTACTCATTTCATTTTTGGAATCCACTTAAAGATTCCAGGTCCCTTTTGTATATAACCTTTATCCTTTTGCTTTTTTTAAAATAATTTTGTTTCATATTTAAAGTCCTTGTATTAGTCAATGATTCATGTTCAGCATTATTTGAACCATTTGCCATTACAAGAAAGAGAAATACTTATTTGTGTTTTAAATAAAACTGGTGTAGGAAAGTCTGGATGTCGTGAGTTAAATGGTCATACATCCCTTCAGCCTAGGATCTGCCTCGATGGGGTGGGGGTCCAGTCAGAATGTTGTTGGTCTCTTGCGTAAATGCTCGAATTTCACAGATAACTGTGTGGCTTTAGAAACTTCTCACAAGGACGTATTGCCAAACTTATGTGCTATTTTAGCTGCATATACTTCAGAAAAGAATATTATTAATAGGGAGGATTTTTTTTACCCAGCACTAATACAGAATCAGTATCCTTGTAGCTCAGGTAATGCCATTGATTTTTTTAAAAGATTTATGGGACACCTGGGTGGCTCAGTCGTTAAGCGTCTGCCTTCGGGTCAGGTCATGATCCCAGGGTCCTGGGATCGAGCCCCACGTTGGGCTGCTCCCCAGGAAGCCTGTTCTCCCTCTGCCACGCCCCTGCTTGTGTTCCCTCCCTTGCTGTGTCTCTCTGTCAAGTAAAATCTTAAAAAAAAAAAAAAAGATTTTAGAGAGAACAAGGGCGTGTGCACGCCAGCAGGGAGTTGGGCAGAGGGAGAGAGAATCCCAAGCAGACCCTGATGCAGGGTTTCATCTCACGACCCTGAGATCAAGACCTGTAACAAAATAAAGAATTGGACATTTAATGATTGAGCCACCCGAGGACCCCAATGCCATTAATTTTTTTTTTTTAAAGGAGAGAGGATTTAGAAGTGATCTTAGATGGATTCAATTAAGAGCTTTGAAGCATGAAGTTCTATTTTTAAAAATTTCAGAAAAGTCCCAAGTGTTAAATAGTGTGCCAATTTTTTAAGGAAATACAAATTTTTTAACTACCAAAGAACACAGATTTTTTTCTAATAGTCTGAACAAGTACAACTTTTAACAAAAGCAAACAGACTGGGGTTCCTGGGTGGCTGGCTCCCCCATTAGCAGGGAGTCTTTGAGATTCTTTCCCTCTGACCCTAAGCCCCTTCATGCATAGCCTCTCTAAAATAATCTTTTTCAAGAAAATGTATTTTTTTAAGGTTTTTTGTTTTTTGTTTTTTGTTTTTTTTATTTGACACAGAGAGAGTACAAGTAGGCAGAGCAGCAGGCAGAGGAAGAGGGAGAAGCAGGCTCGCCACTGAGCAGGGAGATTGAACCCTGGGTTGACTTGCCACTGAGCAGGGAGACTGAACACCAGGTGCCTCAGTATATTGGGTTTTAAATGATGGTTTTCAGTTTTAACAGAAGAGGCCCAAATGGGGGTGCCTGGGTGGCTCAGTTGGTTAAGCATCTGCCTTCAGCTCAGGTCATGATCCCAGATTCCTGGGATCAAGTCCCACATCTGGCTCCTTGTTCAACAGGAAGCCTGCTTCTCCCTCTCCGGTTTCTCTCTTGCTCTCTGAAAAATAAATAATATTAAAAAAAAAAAAAAAAAGAGAGAGAGAGAGAAAAGGCCAAATGTCGCAGTCTGGCCCCAGCCAAAAGCCTCAAGATAGTTTGTGACGCATATATTTGTCTTAAGATAAAATGATCCCTGAAGTTCTGACCTTAACTTCAAATTCTGACAGGTCCTCTCAGAACAGAGTTTATTTTCACCTTTCCAATCTTTGAAACCACCACAGAGCTAAGATTGATAATAAAATTTCAGAGATAAAGTTTGAGGGGCACATGGGTGGCTCAGTCACTAAGCGTCTGCCTTTGGCTCAGGTCATGATCCCAGGGTCCTGGGATCGAGCCCCACATTGGGCTCCCTGCTCAATGGGGAGGCTACTTCTCCCTCTCCCTCAGCTGCTGCCCTTGCTTGTGCTCGCTCTCTCTGTCAAATGAAATCTTTAAAAACAAAAAAAAAATTTTGATCTATGTTTATCAAAGTACAGTGTTAACTTTTTTAGAACTGTGGCCTCGTTTTGCTGGAATATTTCTGCAATTCTTTAAAACGGATTGCTTTTGATCTGTTAGTTTAGCAATAGGAAATGGGAGGTCTCCAGTTGCTAATATTTAAAACTTAACATTTACTGAGTATTTATTACACACCTCTTAATTCACATATCCATTGTGATACAACATGCTCTGCGGCCCTGGAAGACCGCTGCTTTGTATCCCCACCATAGTGTCAGTGTGGTCAGGTTTCATGATAGGAAGGTATATTCCTATGTGCAATTTGGTTTGATTCACTGACTTTTCAAGAGCTCTTTATTTCTTAAATCTGATTTTAGGAAGCTGCTTGATAAATCTTTGCAAGTTCCCACAACCCATTAATATCTTATTCTCCAAACTGTGCATCAACTTATTTGAACTTGCAAAATGACGTTAAGGGCGTGAGCATAAAGAAAACACTTGATCCTGACCATTTTCTTAACATTTGTACAATAAAATGAGCAAAGAATCAGCAAAAGTTAATTAAGGAGTCACCAGATTTCCTGGGAGCCTAAGGAGAAAGTACTTAGGTTGTATTTAGGTGTTACAGAGGCTGAATCTATGGTGATGAGTAAGAAGTCATGAAGTCAAACTTGGCATTGTCTCTTCCTGGGTTTTCTGGTCCTTGACTCCGTGACTGGTTTGTCCTCAGGAGTAAGACAACAGTCTGTAGAGTTAAGAGTAAAGGTAAGCAGAGCCAGTCAGACTCTGAAAAAAGAGAAGAAAAGATATTCAAACAGCCTCTTGTCTGTTGAATAAATAAGTGAAATAGGCAATTGGCTGGATCAAGAAGACTTGAAACAAAGGAGAAATTTCAAGGGAAGGGTGAAGCAGAATGGAAGGAATTCTTCTACTTGACAGGTGCATATGGTGAAGGAGGTCCCTTCTTTGGGACAGGATCTCAAGGAGGGTGGCCGAGCTTAGAAAAACTGAGGAAATTTGAATTTAATACATAAGCAGAACTCCCGCAGAGTATTTTGGACTCTCATCCCTTGAAGAGGCTCAAAATAGAGGCTAACTTCTAACCATCACTTAGCACCACTGCCGCCAGGGAGAGCAGGAGAATGCGAACCCCTGCCCAAGAAATACTGGCCGAGGAAGTGCAAAAGTACGTCAAAAGGCATCAGGAATGAAGTAGGTGCAAGTGTAAGTAGACGATGCTACAGAGGGAATGACAAGTCAGTCTGAAACTGGTAAGGGAAGGCTTCCTTGAGGTGTTAGAGCCGGAGTTCTGCGTGGCTTGCTCAGCAAAGGAGATGGTGTGAGCTGCTAAGAAGGCCAACACAGCAGGCAATGTTTGTTTTCACGGACCTCTGACTATCCCATTGGTACTTTCTCAGACTCTGCTCCGTCTTATTCTGGCTGTTTGCTGTCAACCATTCCTGGCTTTAGTGTAACCTTAACAAAGATTATTTTAACTGA